ACAAGTATTTCTTTATCTAAAATAATAATTGTTGAAGCACTTGACCTTCCACTACCAATATATTGCATTACAATGTAAACAAGCACGTAATTTTATAAACCTTTTTAAATTTATTATTTATACTTTTGAATATTAATTTTTACTTACTAAGCCTTTATAGATTAAAAAATAAAGTTACTTGACATTTTACTTAATATAACTTTTTTTTCAAGTTACCTTATTTTATTTTATTGAGAGAATAACATGTTATCAATGTTTATTTCAGTTACATAAATTATAAAGCTTTCAGTAGCTTCCAGGTTTTGTCATTTTGCTCCATCTTTACCAAAAACTTTTAGCTTCTTGCCCAGAGCCGTGGCTAGGCTCCCACACACATCCTAAATTTAGGGGCCCTTTTGCAAATGTATAGAGCTTTTTTTCTTTTTTTTTCGTAATACCTAATGAAAACTTTTTTAAGATTTTGGAGTCCTTAAGACAGGTTTTGGGGAACCAGTAGCCACTCGGAACCAGTAGCCACTGCACTGTTCTTACTTTATACATATTTTTGAACTACATTTGCGTTTGTAGCTTTATATTGCTCATAATTGTAACTTATTTTATTGAACAAATATTAAAATTTTCTTTTAATTTTCATTTGTTGAACCATAAAAAACTTCACAGCTCCATAAGCCATACCATGTAAAATATTGTTTAAGAAACAATGACGTTTTTCTGACTTTTTTTTTTAAAAATCATTAATTTAAAATTCTTATTATACAATTTAATAACTTATTAAAGTCGTTTTGTTAATAAAATATGTTATTATTGTCAATTTTTATATTTATTAGAAGTTTATTGCAATTATAGTTTAGCTTGATAAACGAGAATAGATTAAAAATTGTTGGCGTCAATGGCGCCATACGCCGGCTTAAATTGAGTGTTTCCTTTTTTTTTCGCAAATGCAGGATTTAGATTTCTTTGTATTTACATAAGCATTTATATTACAATTGCATTTGGTATGAACATTTTGTTAGTGACCAGGATCAGCGCCAGAGTATTTGGCACCCTAGGCGAATCTGAGATACTGCACCCCTACCCCTTTCCCCAACTTACTGGTTAGGGGGGAAAGGGGTAGGAAATGCTTAATTTATGTTATTACATTTTGTATTTACATTCAAAAGAATGTATACATGCATAATCATAAATAAGCGTATATTCGTGTATCTTTATAATATATTAATAAATAATTACAAAACTTCTTTTGCGTTTGCAAATGTAAAAACGAGTTCCGTCAGGTCAATCTTTATAGCAATATTATGTTCACTTGACAGAGTAGCTAATCAAGTCTTTCTTGCTGCATAGACGTTCTCGAAAATTTTTTAACAGTTTGAGTTTTGAGAAGCTTTGCTCACTGCTAGCCAAGGAAACTGGGAGTGTCAAGAGGAAAGCTATAACAGTGTTGGGAAACAATCTGTTAGATTATTGTTTTAAATATAAAGTTTAGTAAATATAGTGGCAATCTAGACTTTGCAATTTACCTTAAAATTGGTTTTAATTCACTGCATAGATCAACTGCATCGATATCTTTTGAGTCTCCATGTTGCAAAGCTATTTCAAGATTCAAGCAATATTCCATAACTTCTTTGCTAGTTACACTCTGTTAACTGCGAACACCATAGAGAAAACCAAACAACGAACTTATTGTTTGTATTAAAGTAAATCTTTCTTCAACCGATTGTATTGCTGTGTCAAGAATAGTAAAGTAATTGTTTATATTGAACTTTTTTTTTGTATCTTGAATAGGTTCGTTATCTCTTTCATACGTAAATTGTTTATTCTTACTTCTGATACGGGTTGATACGGATTGATTCGGATTCAAAAAGTGAAAGTATCTCTAAACTGACTGCAATTTCAACTGCATCTACTAGTATTTTTTTAAACTCCATTTCATTTCTGTAATTTGCAAGAAACTTTGTTGTTTTTTCAAGATAGTTTATGGCGCCATGCATATCTAATTGTTGTGCCTGAAGTTGCTTACTAGTCATATTGATCTCAAACAACACGTCGTACCACACAACCAGAGAAACGACAAACTTAAAACTTACGTCGTACCACACAACCAGAGAAACGACAAACTTAAAACTTACGTCATACCACACAACCAGAGAAACGACAAACATAAAACTTACGTCGTACCACACAACCAGATAAACGACAAACTTAAAACTTACGTCGTACCACACAACCAGAGAAAATCAACAAATTTAAAACTTACGTCGTACCACACAACCAGAGAAACGACAAACTTAAAACTAAAAATAACGTTTGCAATAAACCGTACATCTAACCGTGTTGAATTACCAGATGCTCCTGTTAAATTTGTGTCGTCCGCAATCTCTGTCAGAGCATCGTAGACAGGGGCGGATCCAGCATTTTTTGGTTGTTGAGATAGCTAACTTCCGGACATGGAGCAAACTCCAAACATTTATATGTTTATACCTCTGTCAAATAAGGATGCTTTGCAGAAAATTGCAATGATTGGAGCCTGGGAACAAAAAAGCCCTAAAATTTTAGCTACACCTGCCCCAAACGTGAGAGCAACAAGTTGATAAAATATTTTTTCTACTATTTTTAACCAAGTATATATTCATCGATAAATTTTAAAACTCAAACAATAATCTATTAGCGTTCAACAGTAATGGTCTTATAAAATTTGCAACCCTCTCAAATTAAGGGGGTTAAAACTTTTTATTGTCATTTTTGTGTGAATTTTAAAATTTATCGATGAATATAGATTTAGTTAAGAATAGTATAAAAATTATTTTATCAACTTGTTGCTCTCACGTTAGGGGCAGGTGTAGCTAAAATTTTAGAGCTTTTTGTTCCCAGGCTCTAATTATTGCAATTTTTTGTAAAGCATCCTTATTTGATATAAATATAAACATATAAATTTTTGGAGTTTACTCCATGTATGGAAATTAGGAATCTCAAACTATGCTGCATCCACCCCTGGTAGATTTCACCAAGTTAATAACGGAGAGGTTTTAAAGCATCAATTCAACTTTTCTATCTTGTTTCACTCAGTGATTTAACAGTGAGGTTAGAAACATGTTGTTTTAAAACTTCCCAGCGATAAGTTAATGCAGAAAAGAATACTTATACACGTTGCACCAGATCAAAGAAGGTTGTTGCTTCTAAGCAACATTTTACAGCATCATTAACAGCCAAATTCAATGTATGTGCACAGCAAGGAATAAACAATGCTCGGGGATTAACATCTAAAATTCTTCGTTGGACACCCTTATTTTTCCCCTTCATATTTCTGCCATTATCATATCCTTGACCGCTTAAGTTTTTAATAGATAAAGACAGCCTAAATGCTTAATGATAGTTTGAGTCGTACCATCAGGAGACCATCACCAGTTAACTTCTTTAGAGGCACAGTTGCTGCAATGGCTTTTTCTGGATTTGAAATCAAATCCACAAAGCGAATGATCATAGTCATTTGTTCAACATGACCAGCAATATACTGAGTCATTACTTACAGAATACTGCAGCCAATGTCTGCGAACTTCATCTCCATTGACAAGCCGGCGGTTGTAATGGTTTTTTGAAAATTTTCTTTACATACTGTCCTTAGGAAAGTCAAACTGATCGACTTATTTTGGTCCATGTTCTATCAAACGTTGACGCATTTCATCATTAAATACGACCAAAGTAGTCGGGTTGCTATAGTTAGCATATAGACCAGAGAACTTATCGATTTTATGTTCTTCAGATTCTTTGTGTGTTGCGTGTATTACATGTAATTCAAACTCTTCTGATACTGTCATCTTCCATTTCTACTTCAACTTGATTGTTATCTCATCTGTGCCATTTTCATTTCTTTGCGGTGAACATTGATACTTTAACAACGAACCAAACAGTCTGTTTTGTTATAAACCCTTCATTCGAAGCCCGTCGTTTACGATATTGCGCACCGGACAATTTTTTTCGTTCCGCCATCGTGGATTGAAATAACAAAGGAAATAGCTAAAAATAATTAAAATGATCACCTCGTGTATATTTAATATCTTTAAATTAATATAATATTTTAACTTATTTATAAAAGTTTTAAAGTTACATTTTAAAACTTTTAAAGCTCCATAAATGTAAATAATAAAACTCTATTAGTATAAAAACACAATAAAAATCAGTTAATTGTTAAGCCCGTTCTCCATTCAGAACTTTTTGCGCTTTGGAGGAGCGGAAAAGTTCTTTGATCATGCGCAAAAAGTTCTGATTGGAGAACGGGTTTAAAAAAACTGTTTGCGCATGCTCAAAGAACTTTTCCGCTTCTCTAAAGCGGAATGGAGAACGGGCTTTACTGCTTTGTAATTGCTGTCATAAAATATTTAATTAAAATTAGTTTCTTACTATTTCTGAAAAGACAATTTTCTCAATAAAATTAAACGTTTTAAAATTTTTTTATAAATGAGTAATGAAAACTTTGCATTGTATTAATTACTACAAAATTTCATTCTGCATAAAAAGTATAAAAAAAAACAAAAAAGGAAACGCGTCAAATGAAACAAAAATATCAAAGTTAGAGTTGCCAGACGTCCGGCTTTTGTGAAGGAGAATAGAGTAAAAAAATTTATTTTTATAATTTTGGCGCTGTATTCTCCTCCGTAAAAGCCGGATGTCTGGCAACCCTAATCAGAGTGGATTCTCTTGTGTTATTTGACGTGATTTGACTTTTTTTATTCGACTAAATTTAACTCTAAATAAATTAAAGAGATTTGAAAAAAATTTTAGCGATGTTTTTAATTTATTTATTTTATATGTAGCTAGTTTTAGGGCCGCCCTAGAAAACTCGCCGCCCTAGGCGGCTGCCTAGTTCGCCTCGTGATTAAACCGGCCCTGGTAGTGACCTCTAATATCACCACATTAGTCTTGGCGCCTAATCAGGAATATTCCCTGTGTTCCGCTGGCCTAGCCCACCCCTGAAGTTAATAAATGTGGAAGTAAAAATATCAAACTTATTCAAAATCTTTTTCATTTTAAACATTCAAAAAAAAAAAGATACACATAACTTCAAAATATTTTGTTTACATATCAGAGAAAAATCATAAATTGTTTACATATCAAAGAAAATCATAACCAAACACGATATCCTTTACATAGTCCAAAACATCCTTTAACATTTGTGAAGCAATCGATATCCATAAAATTTTCTATTATAATTTTGTTTACTCAAACATTTTGAAATTGCTTGATCACATTCGCATATTTCTCGTAAACAAGTTCCGTTTTCATTTACTTAAATTAAAACAAACTTTTTTTGACATATCAATTAAAAAATTTATCTTAATATTATTAAAAAACAAAATTAACTTACTTAGTAACAAGTAACTAAATAACAATTTTTAGCTTTTTCTACTTAGGAAGGTTTATGAAATTATTAATATGAAAGCTTTATGAAGTCTATTTGTATAACAAGTTTTATTTTTATATCAAAATTTAAGTAAATGTGAAGTAATATCTACTTAAGAAACCTTTTTAAAGTGTAGAATTATCAAACTTGACTTGTTTGATCAAACTTGACTTGTTTATCAATTTGACTTGTTTATCAACTTGTTAGTTTATTGTTACAACAAAGCAACTTACAACATTTGTCTTTATCAAAAGAGTATTGTGCTATATATGGGTTGCATTCTTTTTTGCTCAGTATACGATCGTAGCAGTGGTCATGCCTTTTGCAGCAACCATCTGCTTTATCCACTGGTTTTCCAGAGCCACCTGGCCCACACCAACACCCATATTCATCATAAGCAAAGCAATGAAAGAATTCTAAATAAAAATTTAAACATTACAAAACAATATTTTAATTGCTAAAAATTATCAAGTTTTAACATGCAATATTTCAAATTTCAATTCATTTCTGAGAGCATCAAATGGCAAATTATTTGACTTGTCATAGATATAATAGAATAGAATAGATAAAATAGACAAACTTTTATGTATTTTATAAAAAGGTGAAAACTTGGGAGCAAAAAGGTGAACTTGTTGACATATCTTGTTCTGAATAACTGTCAAAGTTTCTGAAAGACCAAAAAAGTTATTTCAAATCTTTCACCAACCCTTTTCTAATGAAAATATAAACAGAAAACTTGTTAAAGAAGCGTTAGTGAAAAAAGGTATCGAGTCTTACATTGCAATACAAAAACTTATCTTGTCAACCATGGATTGATGCAAAGTCAAGAATGGTGCAAGGAACGTTTACATTGAGCAGTAGAAAATTCGTGAAAAGCGATTTAAAGCAACGAGTCAAATCTTCAGGTTACAAACCGCAAGTTAGAATCTACTTTAAAAAGATTGCTAATGAAACATATTATTTGCAAGCAAGACGATAAGACAGTGGAGGCTTATGTTTTTCCCACTAGGAAAAAATATGAGCCTCCATCTTGATATTTATAAGCTGTATAACGGTCCGATGAATCAAAATGATGAACCAACAAAAGCCAAACATCTTCCGGCACACATAATACATATTTAAACACAATGGTTCTACGCAAAAAGAAACAATATGTTGCTTTTGTGCCCAAGTTCAACAGATCTTAACCTGTGTTGAATGTATTCGGTCATGGATTGATACTCGATTGGTAAACCATAAAGTTCAATCGAGTATTTAAAGTAACTTTGTATAGAATGATGATTAAAAATACCACGTGAGAATTATATGAAATTTTTTTGAATCTATACAGAAACGAGTCTTAGCTATCTAGCAAAGAAGGTCTCTTCAAATATTAGATCTATATATTTTTTTTAATTTTCTGTTCACACTGTTAACATATGTAATTAACTTTTGTAATTTCTTTTTTCAACTATTTTATCATATTAACTTATATTTTTTAACTATTTTATAAATTTTTTTATATTTTATCCTATTAATGTTGCATTGTTTGATGGTTTTTGAGTTAAAAATAAAAAGAATCTAATTTGTTTTTGTAATTTTTTTAATTAAAAAATAAACAGAAAAAATTGAAATTAATAACTCGATAAAACTTTTGCGTATAGCTACAATCTCTTCTTTTTAAGTATGGTTCGTTGAAATAATTATGCTTCGTTGAAGAAGTGTTGAATACCGTAAAATAATTGTTATAAGAAAAAGCGGGTAAAGTTTAAAGTTTTTAACATTTTTTGTCTAGTAGTTTAAGTTGAACAATATAGATAATATTTCAATTTAATGAATTTATTCAACAAATTTTTTCTTGTTGCCTTTAGTTTTGTTTATGTGTTGATGTATCAAGTACATAATTTATGTGTTGGTGTATCAAGTACATAATTATTGAGTAATTAATGTATAAACAACAACGTTGTTAAATTAAAACTTAAACATGTTGAAAGTTAACATGAAAGTGAAGATTTTGTTTTTTCCAAGCAACATTGTAAGAATAAAAAGATGAATTTTGATATTGCAGCTAACTAAATTTGATATAATCTATAAAAAAATTCAAATTTAAATTTACACAATGAAACATCTGCTTTAACTCTGAAAAAGATGGTTGCTGTGAAAGTAAAAGATTTTTTTCATGATATAACAACCAGTAAATAGTTTAAATTTCAACATTTTGATCCAAGATCAAAATTATTGTATTATAATCAAACTTTATGGTCTAAAGTTTTAAGAAACAGTATAGTTGATTGTTTGGATTTTTTTCAACAGTATAGTTGATTGTTTACATTTTTTTTTGACAGTTAAGTTGATTGTTTGGCACAACAACTAATTTAAATCAACTGCTCATTGGGATTGTCCATAAATTAAATCACGCAATTTTTGACCGTTTTTGACGCTCCCCACCCCCACCCTCGTCACAAAATCGTAACAAGCATTGTATGAGTCGTAAGAGCATGACGTAATTTATGGACAACCCCATTATTGAAAACTTTGCAACTCAAACAGTAAACTGAATAAAAGTTCAAAAACTAAGTAAAATTCAAAAAAATTTTACCGAAATATAATATTTTCGGTGAAAATTTTTTTGAATTTTTGAGTATTTTACAAATTTTGTAAAATATTTTTATCAATAGCAAGAAAATTATTATCTATATTCTTTTAAATCATTTGTAAAAATTTTATATAAAATTCTCATTGATAAAAATTGTATTAATTGTGTCTGTTAACGCTTTAAAATGTTACGATTTATTAGTCACTAATAAATATTACAATTGCAATGGGGTATTACACACTAATTTAACGTGTAATACCCCAAAAACAATTGTTAAACAAAACCCGAGACTTGTTCATAATACTACTTTTCGTAGCTTTATAGATTACTAATAACAAAAAACGGTACGATGTTACCTTTTTTCGAATAGAAATCAATTAGTTCACATAGCTCGTTTAATCCTCCATTAGAAAAATTTATCAACGCGACAAACGTAAGAAAATTTTGTACAAAATGCATAAATATTTTTTCAAATTGAATTCTTAAGCAACTTAGTATTTTAGGTAACTGAAGAACAATAAAGTGACAAGATACAAAAAACAAATACAATATATAACATAAGGTAACTTTTCGATAAATATTATGGTAATATGATCGTTACGTAATATGATCGTTTTGCGGTCGTGACGTATGATGTTAGATTTTATATCTTTTTACGACGGCGGTTGTGATAATCTTTTTACAATGATGACGCGTAGTTTCTAATTCTGCGGTTTTGTTTTACGTTCAAATATTTTTTATATATTACCTAAAGATTTTAAAAATTTTAAATAAAATACAAGCTAGAGTTAGAGTTAATCAAACATGATAATAGTGAAACTGGATTGCTAAAACGATTAGTAAGCATTGAACACTGTCTGACGTCCACAAGACGCCGTACATCTTACTTCTGTGCCCGCTACGCAGTGTAAGATTAATTCAAAATCATGCGCTTGAAGCAAAATTTTATTATTATTTATAAGATAAAGTTATGCAACTTTATCTTATTTTGCCATTTCAAAATTCAACAGTAAAATTACCGGTAAATATGTGGGTAAGTTTGACATTAGCTTTAAGCAATCATTCAAATGATAAGTTTATTACCATTAAAAAAAATTATCATTTGAAATAATTTGTGATTGCTTAGAACTTGTATGGCAAAATTTTTAAAAAATGATGTATTGTAATCTAGAACGAAAAACATGCTTGTTTTAAAATTTATGATTTACAAATTAGATTTATTTCTTTTTTCTCACACAAGAAAATAGCGCATTTCAAAATTGATTAAAAAAAACGTTATTAACAAAATTGCTTTAAAATTCATAAATAACAAAAAGAAAAAAAGAAATAAATATATAGAAAAAGACGAAATGAAACTATTACCGAATAAAAATAAATCATTAATATATTTTTTGACAAAATTCACAACAAACAAAATGCTTTATTTTAAACTCTTTGTTGACATTCTTAAAATAATTTGTCAGCTAAGATAAACACTTTTTTAAAAAAACAAAGTGTAAAACAGAAATACTGTTATCATAAAACTAATAAATATTGAGCGCAGTAGCTTAAGTTCTCACTTTGTTAAATTTTCATCACAGTCTCGAAAAAGAGACTTAAAAATTGGGCACCATTTTTACGTCTCTTTTTTATACTTCACGTATTCACAAAAGTGGTAGTTAGACCATTTTTAATTTTAAAATTGATATTTTCAACTTTAAAGCAGAAAAAGTACAAATGCTGTCAAAACAGACTATTTTCTTGCTTTATTTCCTTCGTATTGTTACGGATATTTAATTTTTTATTAACTTGAGGCTATCCGTGGCTATGATCTGTGGAAATATTTTAACCTATTTTCACATACAAACTTTCAACTAAATTAATCTTATCTCTATTTCTAGTTAAGAAATGATTTTTCTATAATTTACAATGATTAGCTAAGGTTTCAGTTAAATCAAAATCAATTGATCATTCATCAAAACTACATTTAAGCTTTTTTCTCTAGTTTTTTAAGGATTTCACATTATGAGAAAGAGTTTTTTAACGCTTTGTATAGAACAATTTAAATCTTTTTGACTTTTTAAAGCAATAATTTTCTAATTTCATTTTTGTAAAAATAGTTCTTCTCAAAGGTACACTATCCTATTTAGAAGTTTTTTTAAAACATAAGATAAGTGTTATTTAGAAGATAAACTTGTATAGACCATCATCAGACGTAAAATACAATTGTATTTTACGTCTGATGATGGTCTATACAAATTAGACCGAAATATCACAAAAAAGAAAAATTAGTTAGTGCGATGCTGTTTTGATGTTTTACAACTTATTTTAACTTTACGTAATGTCGCTAAAACATGTAATACTGTGTTTTCTCATAAGATTACTTGTTAATATCCCAGTAAACACACAAACGTCTATTAAACGTCAAAACAACGTTTTGACAAAACGTTCAGATTTGGTCAATTATCCGTTTAGAATGAAATCCAGATTAACATTTAGAACAAACGTCCATAAAACGTCTATATTCAAATGTATTTTAGACGTCTATTATACGGTTATTATACGTATATGAAGCGTTTAGATTTTACCTAATTTACGTTTAAATCTAGTCTAATTAACGTATATAAAGCGTTTAGATTTAGTCTAAGTAAACTTACATTAAAATTTTAGATCATGTCTAATAGTTTCTTTGATTTAGTTAACGTAATTTTAATTTATTTTAGTTTTAAAACTTATATAAATTAAAATTACGTCATAACTTTTTAACTTTATATAGGTAATAAGAGCTATATAGATCTTGAAATATATAAATAAGATATAGTTATAAAAGTAATGAAACTTATAAATAAACTTCAATAAATATAGTTATAAAAAGCCTGGCCTAATATTTTTAATTTTTGATAGCTATTATAATATGTTTATAAACAGTATAAGTAGTCTACTACTTACACTTTTATATTAAAACTATAAAGTTATAAACTTATACAAAACGTTTGCATATAGTGAGAAATTTATAGAAAAAATGTTCGTGCACTTTACTTGTTAATGCTTCAATAATTAAAAAAATAAATGATCAAGCTTTTTGCAGCAGAAATTTTATTGTAACAATTTCTATCAAATATTTTTTAAATTTAATCTCATTAGCAGTAAATAAAACTTTACATTAAAATTAAGTTAAAGATTAATAATAAAACTAATAAACTCATAAACATATATTTTGGATCACTGTTTTCTCTGGTTTATGCATTATCAAAAATCTTCATAGTATACCGTCTAGCGCTTGTTTATCATGCAGGTGCAATATCATCTTCTACATTCGTATTCTGATCGTCTGATTTTGTAACCTGATTTGTAACCGCAAAAAACTAAGGTAAAATAGTTAGTATTTTAAATGTTCATAAATCAAAATTAGAATTACAGAGAGCAACTTTACATATAGAGGATTTTCTAAATGGAAGTTTTCCAAAATTTCCTGTACCATCCATGTTTATTTTTGGCATTAAAAAATAAGTAAAGTTGCGACATAAAATAATACCAGCTCTGTTCCACCAATTTTCTTTAGCAAATGTAACTAAATTAAGCTAAAATACATCTAAAATAAAAAAAATAAATATTTAGTTATTAAAACCTCTTGATTATAGCAAAGATGAATATCTACTCTTACACAATTATACTATCGTTTACAAAATGAATTTAAACTGTTTATAAAACTTATGAAAAAAGGTTTTTGCAGGAGGATTTTCATAACTCATATTTTTATAACATTCATATCTTTTAACTGTGTCATTGTGACTATCAATAATTTCTAAAACATCGGAGTCCATTAATTTGTTGGCATTTAGGAAGGGAGATTGTTGCGAAAAGAGCTTTTTAACTTCCATGAATTAAAATAGCGCACCCGAAACTCGTTTATTATTTATTTATCAGTCGTTTTGTATTCAGTTGTTTTAAGGAAGTGAATCTTGAAAAAACATTTAAGCCTAATTTAATTATTTAGCCAATGCAAATAATTTCTCAGCAGTAAAACGAAAATATTCTTTATTTAAACGAGTCAAGGGTGCGTCGTTTTAAAGTCCGCCATTTATTTTATATATTTAATTAAAATTACTACAATTGATTGTAGGCAGTCATGCTCCTGTCAGTTTTTATTTGTTTTTGATTGATATAACAACATTAGACTCTAAATTACTCTAAACAATCTAATCTTATCTTTATTTTAGAGATAAGAAGCAAATTGTTTACTTATTATATTTGAATAAAGTAATAAATGAAATTCATGAGTATTTATGACTTCACAACATATATTTACTTTTAATTTTTTTTTTTTATTATTTTTATTTAGAAGCCCCAAGAAGTCCTTAAGGTCTTATCACAGAGCACCACGGATGAGTATTTAATTGGAAGCTCACGCCTTTTTTCAAACCGATGTCGTAAAACTTGCCCAGAGCTGGAGTTTGAACCACGGATCATTTGTTTCTGAGGCAAGCGCGCTACCACTACACCATGACTGCTCATAATAGTTTAATAAAATATATTACATTGAAAAATTCAACCGATGTTACCTGTTATGTTGGTGGCAGGAATACACAATTTGTTTAAATTATTTCAAAATCTATATTTTCGTAATACTATGCGTTTTTGAATGTCTTCTTTCTAATACCTATGTTTTTGTTTTTTATTTATTTCGTTTTAACTATGCCTATTTAAAACGCGTTACTTAAGCTGTTATGTGAGTCATCTGACCAATGGCTAAGTTACTATATTATAATATAATATACGTTTATTAAACGTCGATCAAACGTTTAGAATAACGACTTATATTAGTCAATATTGTAAACGTTTGATCGACGTTTAATAAACATATATTAAGAGATTTAAAGTATAGATTTTAAATCTATAAATGTTTACGTTTAATTAAGGTCGATTAAAGGTTTACAATATTGACTAATATAAGTCGATATTCTAAACGTTAGATCGACGTTTAGTAAACGTATATATAAAAAAGTTTGAAAAATACATTTCAAATAAAGCGTAAATTTTTAGTCAATAATAGGTTGCTAAACGTTTTATCTATTTATCGACCGATTACGACTAAATATTAACCAACTCTGAACCAATCTGTGTTTACTGGGATGTATGTAAGGCTGTGTATTTTTCTTTCAGATTGCAAAAAAGTTTAATATAGTTTTTTTTGATTAATCACAATTAAAAGAAAGGGTTCAGCTTGCGTTAATTATCCAAACATTTTTCATTTATGGAAAGTTCATTACAAAAGATCAAAGAAAGAATGTAACCTAGAGACATGAAGCTTTATATCAAAGTCGTATCAAACTTGATGACCAGAAGCGCTGTACAACATTTTATTCTGAGCTAACACAACTGCTACTCCGAAAGAAAAGCTGCTTTTTTTATACCCATGGTGTGGCGTGAACCAACCAATCATGCGTCTGATTGTTACCTCTGCATGACCAACATTGAAAGATTCACTATGAAAACAAATCAGCTGTAACATATCCAGAATATCCATTAGCTCTGAAGGCAGTCTTGCATGATGCTGAAAATCCTGTGCCCATTCCACCAACGTAAATTCTATTCAACAAACACCACAAGTACCGACAATACAGATGAGGCTCAGTGTGATGTTAAAGTCCAAAAAAATGCTTATGAAAAAGAATTAGACAAGAGTAAACCACAATTTTTAACTGAGACCAATTTAAACAAATTTGTTAGAGATCTTCAAATATCAAAACAAAAGGCAGGTGTTTTAATGTCCCACCTTCAGTGGAATCTTCTGCTGCCGGAAACCAATATGAGTCAATTCATACTATACATAGATGCAACAAAATCCACATTTTATGCCAAGAATGACAATATATGTCTCTGCTTAGATTATTTTTAATAGCCTCCTCAATCTAAATTTATTGTAGGCAAGCATATAATTTGAAATCTGTCGATCAATACATAACTAGTTGATACTTATGAAAAAATAAATAATTCAACTCATTGCCTTCACATTTAGGGTAGGGGGGGGGCTAAGATTTTAGGGTTGCTTTTTCCGATTTCATATCACAGTAATTTATTTTGGGAAGAATCTTTTCGTCATACATATGAACGTAAAAAAATTTGGAATATTCTTTTTGTTTAAAATTTCTTTTTGTTTAAAAACCTTCCTACGCCACTGTATATACCCATATAGCATATGCGGTATATATATATACTAGCGTGGGTCATAAAATTTTTTTTTAGAGTTGTTAACCTGGCTATGGTCTAGAAAGTTGTTTTTTATGTACTAATTTAGAAAAGTATTTACTTTTATGGATTGAACAATGTCTTCCACCCGCAACTATAATTACAAAAATTAGCAGGCCCTATTATTATTCAAAAAAAAAGTTTTACAAAATTACGTGATGTAGGTACTCAAATAAAGCAAAATTTTATAAAAATTTAAAAAAAATAATTTTTTTATATAAAAATTATTATTTTAGATTTTATTGAATAATAACTATAGTTTTTTAACTAAAAGTGAAAAAGGTGCATTTTGACATGTTTTTAATAACAATTTTTTTCGGAAATATGATTTTTATAAAACGATTATTATTTTCGAATTTTTTATAAAATTTCGCTTCCAGGTTTGAGTACCAGGTTGACCTACTTTTGAAAAACTTTTTTCTCTAAAATATTAGGGTACCGGTAATTTTCCCAATAAAGTTGCGCCCTTTCACAATCAGTCTCATATTTGATATTAATAACTATTAGCAATGTTTAGAGCCTGTAACAAGAAAAAATTTTAAATTAAAAATGTAATTTATGCGAGAAAGCTGTTACACAAAATTTGCGTTAACTAATTCGACGAGGACTTGCGGACCTCTACGAAGTAATAAATGCTTTTTTTATCCGTAAATTTAAAATGTTAAAATCTTATCTCATGGTAAAGATAACCTTACTGATTTGTTTGAAAGAACGTAATTTGTGTTATTTTCTATAAAAATTCGATACTATACTACTCTTATCTATAGATGCTTTTTATATTATTTTTTAAATACTTTAGATGTCTAAAAGTAAAAAAAGGTCATACTTAGATGAATACATGAGATATGGATTTACCTACATGCTTAAAGAAACCATTATAACAAATAACACACCTACCCACAGTGTGTTATTTGTTATAAAGTACTAGGAAATGACTCTATGAAACCTTCAAAGCTTGCTATTCACTTGAATAAGTGCCATCCTGATCTTCAAACAAAAGATACTGATTTTTTCAAAAGAAAATTTGAATCACTGAAGAGATGCAAATTGGATAAAACTGGGATTATTTACCAAACTCAACAGAATATAGTAGAAGCATCCTATAAGGTTTCATATATAATAGCACAGAACAAAAAAGCTCACACATTGGCTGAAGAAGTTATACTTCCATGTACAAAAGAAATCGTTAGATTATTATTTGGAGAAGAAGCTGCAAAGAAGGTAGATAATATATCTTTATCAAATACTACAGTCAAACGAAGGCTTACTGATATTTCATCAAAGATTAAAGAAAATGTTATTAATGAAATTAAAGAATCCCCATATTTTTCTATTCAGTTGGATGAGTCCACAGATGTAAGTTCAATGGCACAACTAATTGTATATTGTTGGTATATTCACAATAACAAATTTAAAGAAGAATTTTTGTTTTCTTCTTGCCTTGAAACAACAACAAAAGCAGCTAATATTATGGAAATTTTAAAACAGTTTTTCAATGACAATCAATTACAATGGAAATATTTGTTTGGAATTACTACTGATGGAGCTCCTGCCATGATGGGTTGTAAGTCTGGATTACAGACTAGGGTGAAAGAGATTGCTCCAAATGTAGTTGGTGTACACTGTTTTATTCATAGACAGGCTTTGGCAACCAAAACTTTACCAGGTAATTTGAAAACTGTATTTAATCAATTAGTCAAGTTGGTCAATTATTTAAAATCTTCTGCTCTTAACACTCGCCTTTTTACAAAATTTTGCTCTGACCTAAATGCTGAACACAATAAGTTATTGTTTTATACTTCTGTGCGATGGCTATCTGCTGGAAATTTTTTGGAAAGATTTTTCATGCTTAGAAATGAAGTGAAAGAATTTTTATGTCAAATGAAAAGTGGACTGGTAGAATATTTTGAATTTGATAATTTTGAAATAACAACTGCTTATCTTGTGGACATCGTAGGTCATTTTAACAAGTTAAATTTGCAACTTCAAGGCAAAAATGCTAATGTTATTACACATTCAGATAAACTGAAGGCATTTATTGAAAAGCTCAAACTGTACAAGACTAGAATTAATAATGGAAACTTGATCATGTTTCAAAATTTAAATAACATAATTGGAGTTAACATGCTTCCTGAAGTTATAAAGACAGAAATAGTTTGTCACCTAGATAATTTGATTACTGAATTTGGTAACTATTTTCCAGATATGAATCTTTTGAGCAGTGAAGTTATTATATCACCATTTTCTTGTGATGTGAAAAATGTGAAAGAGGAAGCACAAGAAGAGTTTATAGAGTTAAAGAATGATACCACGGCTAAGGATCACTTCAAAGTAGCACCATTAAATAACTTCTGGTTGAAAATGAGGAATTCATATCCATTGTGTTCATCAATTGCACTTAAAGCCCTTATATCTTTTTCAACATCATATTTGTGTGAAGCCGGGTTTTCAGCAATGCTATCTCTTAAAACAAAAAAAAGAAATATACTTGATATTGATGCAGATATTAGATGTGCTCTATCAAAAACTAAACCAAATTTTCAGATATTAATTGCTAGTAAGCAGTGTCAGAATTCACACTGATCGGTTCTTGTATCATACATAAACTAAGATAAAAATTTTTTGTGTCATTGATAAATATTGATTTTGTGTCTAGTCTATTCAAAAATACTTTAAATAAAATATTATCCTTATGAATAAAAGTTACATTATTAAAATGTTCACCTTGTAATAATTTTTAAAATCAAAGGGGTCCATGAAGATTTTAGGATATTTAATTTGGGGAACGGGTTAGAAAAGGTTGGGAACCACTGACATAATATATTAATATGCATATAATTAAAAACTTATTGTTCGTACTACTGATTACCGAGATTAGACTTTTTAACCAGACAACCACAAATAGCGTTTGGCTATATTTGTAATACATTAACTTGAAATAGCGGTTAATGAAAGAAAGTCTTCCTTTTTACTTCAGTGTGCAGAAAGTTGATTTTAAGTTTTACCTTTTTTTTAGCATGTTGAACATATGCTTTTAAAGTTACATGTTGAAAAATGCTTTTAAAACCAATACAGAAACAAAACTTTTATTTTATTTAAAAAATGCTGCTTTGTTTCCAAATAGAAGATTATGTTTTGACGAGTTCAAAAAATCGAAACGGAATTATCTTATAACTTCCTTAAAAAGCTGAGCATGTTTTGAGGATGCCTTATTAAGAAAAGTGTGTACAATTTATAAATTGAGACCTAAACTTATCCAGTACGTTTTTTGATGAAAAAAGTTGGATATGTTTTAATGAGTTACACAGTTGTTTACTCTTTTTTATTCCAAATGTAATTTTTCAATATATTTTACGGTCACTTTACTGAATGTTTTTACAATATTTTAATACATGTTTAAAATAAATAGTCTATGTACGGAGCGTTAACTGTGCTATTTTATGTACGGAGCGTTAACTGTGCTATATGTACGGAGCGTTAACTTTTAATTTGATAGAAGAGGAATAAGCTGTTTATTATGTAAGATGAGCATAATATAATGTGCATAGTAAATAATAAATATGATGCCAAATGCGCATGACATAAAGGTTTTAAAAATTTATTACAGTTTAACTATTGTAAATTCCTATAAATTATTTAAATAGGGGCATTTATCGTCATGGTGGGGCTAAATTATTGTCATGGGTATTTCTCAAGTAAAACTAGAAAAAAAAACAAAACTTTTCAAATCTGGTATTTTTAGTAAAATAACGTCATATGAAATGGTGTAATTTAACATAGACTTTTAAACCATGATTGTGGTGCCCCAATTTCTATTTTTAGAATGCCACAATCATGGTGCACTATTATCATTGGAGCACCATAGCTAAGTTCTATTTTATTCTCTTTTTTTATTATTAAGAGGGATACATTTTTTATTTTTATATTTACCGAAATGCTTGAATTTAATTGATTGTTTGTTGATATTCAATGCCATTTTGAAGTCAAATAGTTTATTTAAAAATGATTCAGTTTTTATTGTCTCAAGTTTTTTTTGTCTTTAATCTCACTCTTACTAAAATTATGGTGCCCAATCCCCCCTTCATGACGTTTTTTTATTTTGAATAAAGTTTATAAAGAGATGTGAAAAACCCAGAGTCATCAATCAATTAATCATGATCAAGATGTTTTATTTATTTAAAAAATATTTTCTTGCTTGATCAGCAAAGTTTTAATATGACTAGTAAATAATATGACAATGAGGTCCGTGTAAACCATGTTGGAATATGATAGTAATATTCTTTTGATTTATTTCTTATACTTTCTAAAAAGCCCTTTCTAAATATAGATGATATTGCAATTACGTAATTAACTTAAATGGGGCATTAAAATAACACACTACAAATAAACGCTTCCATATATACTTCACAACTTGATTTCTATCAAAGCAGGTTGACGTAGTCATTGGAAACGCTGACTAAGCATTACGATTTGTTTAAAACAAGAAATATGTTTATAAAAAACTCAACAAGACTTCTAAGAAATTAACAAGAAATTTAGTACTGAATAAATCTAACATAAGAAACTTTCTAACTTTAATATTTTTGGCAAGTTTTTTGTCAAAACAAAACAAAAAGTTTAAAAGTTTACTTTGTTTTGATTATCGACTATGCAACCTATTAATCATAAACTTACGCGAGAGATGCGAGAAAAAAAAGCGATATATATATATATATATATATACATACATATATATATATATATATATATATATATATATATATATATATATATATATATATATATATATATATATATATATATATATATATATATATATATATATATATATATATATATATATATATATATATATATATATATATATATATATATATATGTATACACACACACACATATATATAACCCTCGGAATTAGGAAAAATGAGGTCGGCAATTTATTACCGATCTCCAACTGTTAGGGGTCGGCATTAGGTCGGCAGAAAAAATTTGACACAAATGGGATTACCATAAAACAAAGAAACAAGGTCGGCAATTTTTTGCCGAAATATATAAGCCTCAAATCCTCGGCAATGCCGACCGTAATTCCGATGTTTGTATATATATATATATATATATATTCATTCTTTTTCATTTTGCCGTTTGTTGAAGATTACAAAAAAAAATTACAATAATAGAAAATCCTGGCCGGGGCAAGAAGAAGATAGACTTGTCTTATAAGAAGAAGATAGACTTGTCTTATAACCGAGCCCCGTTACAGTAAATAAGTGATAAATAAAATAGTATAAGTACGTACAAAACTTCAGCAATAAAATAAATTTTTCCTAACAATCTTCCAGCGGAATAATTAAAAATAAATAAAATAAGACAAATGAGATAATCATAAAAGTTATCAATCACAAATAAGTACGTAAAGTTTTATTAATAATAATGCAATATAAATAAGTATTTAGAACTAATTAATAAATATCAGCAAAAACATAAAACAAAAAAGGAAAACATTTAGTAAAAAAAGCTTAAGAAAATGTAATAATTTTAAATGGTTTATTTAATTCAAAACCTTTTGAACTGTTTTTAAAAAAGATATTTGAAATCTAGTATATCGAAGTCCATGCTTAGTAAATCCCGTTTTGAATCAGCTTGAAAACTTTCCAAAGTTTAAAACGAAGTCTTGTTTTTCATTAAAAGTATGAAGAAAATTTTTCCAAACAAGATTCCTGATATTGAATTTGGTACAAGCTTAATTTAAGATGGTTTATGTAAATGACAAAGTTGTCCATTAAAAATTTGGTAGGATATTTATGAGAGATTTCATTAAAGTAAGGTTGAAATGTTACTGAATATTACTCACATTTTTTACAAAAGAGTAGCGTCAATTGAACAATTGAATCACATATACACGTCACTTATTCATATAAATAGCAAACTAGTACCATTGCCCAGTGGGCACAGACGTAAAAAAGACGTATTTAAAACGTCTTCTAAACGTTTTGGACGTCTTTTGAACGTTTTGAACGTCTTCTGAACGTTCAAAAGACATCTTTTTTTGGCCCGGTGCCCATTGGGTATGTGTTACAAATTTAAACGTGTACGTTTTTTACGTCGACAAAGTTAAATGTGTAGCGTTTTTGATGCCGATAAATTGGAAAACTATTAGTTTTTTAGTAACTAGATCATTTTTTTATAAATTATGTTGACAATTCGAGTTAAAGAAAATTTGAGAATTGTAAAAACGTATTTTTTTTTCAATTTTGTATAAAAAAAAAACTACTAAAAGTAAGCTTATTGCTAGGTTTTTAATAAAAGTAAGTTGATTGCTATGTTTTTAATAAAAAGATTGTCTTTTTACTAAAAACTCATTATTAACAACATTCTCTTCTGTAATGTACGCGTCAAAAATATAAATAGCGTTTATAATATGAGGTTGTCTTTTAAAAGGCCTGAATTCTCAGTTAGAATAGTTGAAAAACTAGTTTTTACAAAAGCTTGTTGCAAAGTAGCTTAAATCCCAGCATGCCGAGCGGTTCACATGCTAACCCAACTTCAACAAAAAAAAAAACTCTAATCAATTGGGTATGTTACATGCAATTATTGAATGCAAGTTTTTTAATTAGTAGCTTCAAAGCAAACTAACTGTGCAAATAAACGAAACCCCCTAATTATGCTAGAAGTAAGTAGATCTAACGAAATTCAAGTAAATTTATGTTATGCAGCCAACATCTTATAAGTAAAAACATTCATAAAATTAACTTACGTTAGGTGTAAACGGAAATTATAAAAAAATTATATTCGGAAAACTAATAGTATTTTGATTAACAATAGTACTACTAAAATAGATTGATGCCTGATAATACTGCTTATTATGCCTATACTCTAGCGTGTCATGGTCGGTATAATTGTCCGAAGATAATTGTAAATTAATACATGTGCATATGTACAGTCGTAATAATCAATTAATACATGTGCATATGTACAATCGTAATAATCAATTAGAGAGTGTTTCGGTATGATCAGTACAAATTAAAAATTCTATTGTCATGATAATGAACAATGTTTAACACATAATAAAATACTAGGTTGAGCATGCGCCAAAAAACTTATAGTAAGCAAAGTAGACAAAAATAAGCTGATTAATCATTCTGTGAATATCTTTGCGGTGTTTAACGATTGCACACAATAAAAATTCAAAGTTATTCAATAAACTTAGTTGATTCATTTATTTTACAAAAACAACTGTTAAAAAAGTTCTATTAAATCCTCGAACAAACCGTCATTACTAAATTATGTAAAATAGATTCAGTAACTTAATACCTTATCGAAAATAGAACTTTTACAAGGGTGAGAAAAACAGCTGTTTTTTAGAATAGGTAAATTGTTGTTTGTCAAGTTTAATTTAGAAACACACTATGTGGTATGTTAAATTTAAGTGCAACCGATCAACCTCAGGTAGACTGTATTACAATGAATGATCAATAGTTTGCAATAAAAGTACAATGTTAAGGGTTACTTAGACTAATGAAAAATTATTTCGAATTATAAAAGTTTATAACACAGACAAAAGTTAAAGAGAATAATGAATTAATTTAAAATAATAAAAATACAAAAAATATTTGGACGCAAAACTTTTTGAAGCGAAAATAGCATTAACAACAAACATGTTATACAAATATTCTTTTAAAATATCAACCACTACTAATGTTAATCAAAATTATGTTGTTTGCGCATTTATTTAAATATATATATATATATATATATATATATATATATATATATATATATATATATATATATATATATATATATATATATATATATATATATATATGTATTTAAATTATTGACTCATGAATAAAAGAATTTGGCATATATAAAATTGCAGCTTTCTAAAGTTATATAACAAAATTAGGTTATAGTTTTAGTGAGGACGAAAGAAACATAATATAATCGTGATGATATTAAAGACCTCTTAAAAATCTTTCTATAAGAAATCAGACTCTATTAATTTGTGTTTCATCTGCGTATTAGCTACATAAGTTAACGAATTTTCGAAATAAAAAACATAAGCGAAATCTCAAACTTATTGTAAACAAAGACACTTTGAAAGAATGGCTTATAATTGAACGTTAACAAAAAAGGATGAATCAATTGAAATAGACTGCTACGCCATTTTAACCAATTATGATTCTTTATAATAATAGTTTATTTAAGTGAAAAATACAAAACAGCGAAAGAAAAAAAAGAAATTTATTGAAAATGTTAATAAATCATGTGGATATAATTTACTGTAATCAGAATATTTTATAAAATGTAGGCAAGTAAACAGGATACGCTAAAAGTTCGATTCATCTTCGCAATAGATTTTTTCACCGCGCACAATTAATATTGATAAGTAAAACTTCGTTTTTAATTAAAATGTAAATAAAAAGCTATTTAAAAAAAGTAAAACTTTATTAACTAGATATACATATATCATTCAAATTAAACATTAAAAAATAAATAACTTGAAAGTAAACTTTTTATTTGCTACTTGGTTTAAGGAAGAAGAATATTTATAAATAAAAAATAAAGCATATTTAAGAAACTAAATAAAAATTTAACAAAAAGTGTCTCAAATTTCAACTTATTTAAAATAAGTTATAAAAATAACTTTTATTATTACAATTCTAAAAAGATTGTAATGTCAAATGTCAACTTTGAGCCTATACTAATCGCAAAACGTATATAATAAATGTATGTATGTTCGAATATATGCATGTATGTATATACGTATGCATGTATGTAAATATACAATATGTTTGTCAAGGAAAAAGATTTCATGCTTTGTTATGTCCATTAGTTCTTTACAACTTTTTTTTTGTGTGGCAAAAACCAGTAATTAGAGAATAATAACCCAGTAAATAAACTTGTAATTATAAATTAAAAAATTTTTTAATTATAATTTAAAAAAAAATAAAATAATAATAATAATAACAATACGCAAGTTAATAGAGAACGCACAAATTTATGCGTTCATGTAAATTCTGAGCAATTGGGTTTGATTTTGTATTTTCTTGAGCTTAAAATCATCTTTTGTTATAAACCAGATCTTATAAAAAAAAAAAAAAAAAAAAAAAAAAAAAATTAAAACATGTTTCTTAGCACAGAAACTCGGGACGACACACTTTTATGTTTGAAGGCCATTTGACTCACGCAGAGCGATTAAGAATATCATCTATGACTCAAAGCAACTATAACTTGTTTGAGTTTTTTGCAAAACGGGCAATTTTCCAGGTGTCGCTATTTTGGGATCATAAACTAAGAAGTGCTCGCCTCATTAATACGGCTAAAGCCTTTTGTTCTATTCTCAGTTTTTACAAAGGTTATTTTCAAAGGAATAAATATCAGTGTATATATTGAAATATTCAAACAAATATACTCAGATTATTATTTTTTTAAATTTAATAATTTTTTTTTTAATATTTTGCAATTTTTTTAAGCAAAAACAACAACAACAACAACCACTGAGAAACGTGTCAGTTTTTAAAAAAAATGAAATTTACTTAACGCAAAAATGAACTATTAGGTCACATAAAAAAAGTCGGAAAAACGTTTACAAAATGTAAAGAACCTATTGTTTGAGTTTCGTATTAAAAATGTGTTTGAATGTTATTACAAATCTTTCAAAAAGAAATTGAAAACATTGATTTAATCACGTGACAAAAAAAAAACATTTATAAACTCGAAACCACTAAAGCTTAATTAGTGTATGCTTGTATAGCGAACGCAAGAGTGTATTTACACTAATATTATAAAATGATCAGTTCATTAAGAGATGAGAAAAAAAGGTCCCCAAAATGCGCAAGATGTCGTAATCATGGATTCGATTCTTCTTTGAAAGGACACAAAGGCTACTGCCGTTGGAGAGATTGCGTGTGTCCAAAATGTCTGCTAATCGTAGAAAGGCAAAGAGTGTTAGCAGCACAAGTCGCTCTGAGAAGACAACAGATGCAAGATTCAAAACAGAGATTGACTCCACTTCCACGGGGAGATATATTTCCGGTAGCAAGACCAAATATATCAGAAAATGATTACAATGGAGGTTCGTATATTATTTATTTGTATATTATTACAACTATTTATATTCAAAAAAAATTCAAAAAATTAAAATTTTTTAATTTTGCTTGAGTAGATGTTTTATTTTTTTTTTGGTCATATTTTAATGTCTTATTAGATAAACGCAAAAAATGTTTACGGGAAAAAAAAAACTTTTTCTCTTTGTATCCTAACATATCTTTAAAAAAGAAAAGAAAAGTGAAACATAAGTTGACCGAAAAATGCATTTAGATAATTTTTATCCATATGGCGAAAGTGAAACACACTTTTCACATTGCAGCTTTTGTACCGCAAATAAAAAAACAATTGTAAGCAAGGTGCATGCAAATATAAAGTATCTATAATCGCATCAAACAGACGGAGTAAGGCAGAAAAAAACTATTGTTACTTCAATGTTTAGATTGATAAAACGTTCTGATTAAATAGAAATCTTGCAAACTTTATTTTAAAATGCTTTGTCTTCTACACATGCGAGCCCTAGAAAAATAAATTCCGTTGATAGGAAATAATATGGTGCAAACAATTGTTTCTTAGAGTTATGCATGTTGTTTAGTCCACACTTTGTTATTTTATTGTTTAACAATGAAATTCATAATTTTACAAAACAGAATTATGTAAAAAATGGTTGCAATCAAAATTTTATGAAAAGCTTTAAAATAAAAAAGTATTTTATTTTTATTTTAGAATAAAATTTATTTTTAGAATCAGAGAGTGACGATAACGTGTCGTTAACCGATCTTCAATTCAACGAACGCAAAACGTCGTACAAAAGTGAAACTTATCAAGGTCACGAATATCCAAGAGATCATCATGGTCAAGGTAAGATTTAAACTCAATTAAATTAACTTTTACAAATTTTAAATAGTTTATATATAGTTACTGATATTAGTTATTTAACCTACAACTTTACTTATAGGAACCCCACCTTATATGCACACGCAAAGTTATGTACCAATACCAATGAGATATTTTGGCAAATCGGCAAGTTTAAAAAGAGATACACCGTTTCAAAGTTTTTCAACATATAGACCCAAAGGTAAGTTTTGAATAAATTTTTTTTTGTACAACAAATTATTCTAATTTTTTTTTTAACAGACTTATCAGTTTAAATTATTTTTTAAAATTTAGAGTTATTAGATCGAATGACACCTGGGTATTTGGGGAGAATATCTCCTTATCGCCGGCAACCATGTTCGCTTAAGTATTACAACGGAAAAATATACCCAGACGATCGCTGCCACAAAAGTAGTTGGATGCACCATATACCTAATCATCCGCATTCTGTAGATTATATTTTGGAAGATAAAAATTTAAACGAAGAAAAACACGATATAAAAAGTAATAACGAGAGTTCTCCCGAAAAAGAAATTAGAAAATCACCAATCAATATGTTGTTGCGATTATTTCCCCAGCACTCATCTCCATTACTTAAAAATATACTGTCAGAATGCAATGGTGACCCAGTGCATGCTATAGAATGTATATTAGACAAATACCCTTCCGATATCACCAAAAACGAACTAATTTTACAAATGGGTCGCGCATCAACCAGTCCAAATACAAAAGAAAAAACAGACAATGGAAAACTTCTAGATGGTAATATCGGAAGAATGCATTTGAACAAACAGGCAGACGATCAACTATCGAACTTAGCAAGAGCCTATGACATTCCTATGAACATAGAAGATAACAGACAAACTTTCAGCAAAATATAAAAAATGTAAATAATAAATAAAAATACTTATAATTTTTACTATAATAGCAAAAATAATTTTTTATATTCAGTTTTAAATTTTTTCTCACAAACATAATATCTCTTTGAATTTTGATTTATAACACACACAAACAAACACTCGAACGCGCACACACAAGTTTAGCAATAAATTTCCTTATTAAAACTTATCTGAGTTTAAATCCTGCCTCCAACAAACGGAGCCTGACATTATTTTGGATTTTTACGCTATCCAAATGAGTCAGTGGTCCATCTAATCGAGAATAAATCATCCGATAACAATAACTAACCAAATTACTTTCTTTGTAATTTAATAGCTTCAATAAAACTATTCCGTAAAGACAATCGTGTGTATTCGTAAGTATCGTTGACAAAAGTTCTTCTTCGCTATGTTGGTTATCAAGCCAAAGGCATAAATCGTGACGATAGCATAAAGGGTACTGAATTGATCCCCTCAACAACGACGGAGTAGTTAAAATCTGCAACTCGCTATCTGTATTCTTAATTATGAAAATGACCATGAAAAATATTAACGCTCATTCTTCAAAAGTTACCATGAATATTATAATATATCAATAAATAATAATAATAATAATAATAATAATAATAATAATAATCATAATAATAATAATAGTAATAATAACAACAATAAAACAATAATAACAGCAAAAATAATAACAAAGATATAAAACAGTTTTAAATTAATATAATAAAATTTATTTTTATAAAAAATCGATATGGTTTACCACAAAATTAAAAAAAAAGAAAAAAAAAAAAAGAAAAAACTGTTACCATGTGCAGTAATAATTGTTGCTTAAAGAAATCATCATCACTCCAAAGATATTTTAAACTCTTTATTTCGTAGCATGCCAGAAATATTTCAAGTATGCGCATCTGCAAGTCTAAGGTTTCGCCGTTATCTATTAAATTAGCCACACAAAATCCGTTAATATAAAAACAAGTAACGACATTTACAAAACAAGTGTGGTCCTTTTTTAAAAAGATCTTTTCTACTTCTGTCATTTCATAATCTGTAGCTGTAATTTTTTTGTATGATATACTTTCTTTTAAATCTTCGGTATCATTATGAAAAGAAACAGTTATCTCAGGTAAAGATGTCCAAAACGACACAGGAATTTCATCGACAAAATCTGGCACAAAATCAACATTACAACTTGTGTTTGTTTTATTATAATGATAAGAATTGCAAGCACATGAGGCGTGCAAAAAACACGAATTTTCTTTACTTTCAACAAAAAATTTAGAAAACAATTTTTCTCTAAAATGAACCAGCAAAGCTTCTTTAAAGGTTTTGCTGCTTAACTCACATTTAGTCAAATGAATGGTATACTTTAAATCAAAAGAAATACTCGCCGATATCGGACTGATTTTGGTATTTAAACGACGTATGATTTGTTTAATGCATTTAGAATTTAACTTATTCACGTCGGATGAAAACAATACTTCGATATTATAAAGACTTAGTAGTTTTTCAATTGATTTTGAGCAAAGTTCTTTCATTTTCTCAATAAATATGTTCCAAGATTCGTCTTTTAATTGAATTTTTCTAAAAAACCTAAGCAACATAAAATAAAATAAAAAAAAAAAAAAAAAAAAAAGACTAACTTACGTAAGATTTACAAAACCTCTTCGAACAAACGTATGCAATAGAGCACCATTGGTTAAAAAACCATTTTTAATAGAACTTCGGTAACCAGCTTGTCGGTAATTAGTCAGACTGCTAGCATCAAAAGGTTCTACATTTAATAATATCAACCCTGAAAAATTTAATAATACCAACATTTAATACCAACCCTAAAAATAAATATTTAATCTTTATTAACTTTTTTATCCGTTACAAAAACTTTAAATGTTAAATATATAAAAACAATTTTAGTAAATATCAAGTGAGAATGAAGAAACTCGGGTATGAGAAAAAAAAAATTGCGTTTCTACTTAAAATGTATGTTTTTTTCACTTATAATATATGTATTACCAAAGTGGTATATTAAACTATAATATAATAGACTATATTATACCACTTTGGTTTTACGCGTATAATATTTTATAAACGATAGTTCTTTACTGCCATCTCTCCCTAAATTAAAAATCATGTTGTCAGCCTTAAAAGGTCTATAGAAACAAGAAAGAATTCATCAAAAACAAGTCAAACAAGATTCATCTTCAAAATATTTATATATGTTACGCACAGATCGTGAAATTGCGCGTTTCACGAACTGTGCAATTTTTTGCTCATTTTGTGAAATGGATAGCGCTGTTGCGCTGTTTGTGAAATGTTAAACTTTGTTTTTTTAATACATACTCTGCGAAATAAATATTTTTTATAAAAATATATGTTTTTTTAATTAATATACTAATATACTGCCCAACCCAAACCCTCAGTCGGTGCGCGTACACTCCCTTGCGCGTTCTCCTTAGATAGTCAGACAATTTATGTCAACTCCCTGCGTGTTTTCCCTAGATAGTCGATACATACACTCCACTGTGCAATTTCCTATTTAAGTCAATATTAATATATATTATACAAAGTATAATTAAATACTAAAAAAAAACCTATACAAATTTAACATTTCCCAATATATATATATATATATATATATATATATATATATATATATATATATATATATATATATATATATATATATATATATATATATATATATATATATATATATATATATATATGAAAATCAATCAATTAATCAAAGAATCATTCATCGTATAGAAAACGTATATTTTTCTTGTATGTTTCTCGTTTAAATGTGCACCAACTAAAGATAATAAATTATTAGCGTAATACAATTTTTTTCATTTGTATTAAACAAAGATTTATCTGACTTATATCAAAGAGTCTCATGGTAATTATAGAATGAATGATAAGAAAAAATGACCAATATCATTTATTTTTTTAATTTCATTTAGAAATAACGTCAGTAGTTCCACAAATTTGTGTAATGTTTTGAACGGGTTTCTTTAAAGTTATTTTTTAAAATTTAAATTTAACATTATGGAAAAGTTAAAGCAATTTTTTTCAACCTGATCAAACTTGTTTTTGTGTCACTACAAATAGAAGAATTACCAGCTTAAGCCCATGAGCTCCCCCAACCAAAGCCACCCACAAAAATAACACCGGCCAAGGAACAAAGAAACCTCGGTATATTTAATCAGAAAGAACGTCAAAAAGATCAAAGTTTTGGAAAGAAGAAGAACGATTAAGAACGAAAAGAAAGATGATTAAAGCAAAAGCACATAATCGAATAGTCAGAGGATTCAAACTTCACAAAAAGAAAATTGATATTTAAGCATAAAAATTAGTACATATAATGGAGAACTTGACTCAATTATTGATAGTGCATATAATGGAGAACTTGACTAGTGCATATATTGGAGAACTTGCTTCAATTATAAATAGTGCATATAATGAAGAACTTGACTCAATTATAGATAGTGCATATAATGGAGAACTTGACTCAATTGTATATAGTGCATATAATGGAGAACTTGACTTAACTAATTAAATCAACCTAAAATTTTAACATAGAGCTCCTTATGTGGCCTTGACAATGCACACAAAAGCACTAACAAAGGCAATCTGATATTTTACAGATATTGATGGAATCTCATTGAGAGCTACGACAGAGTTTAGGTAACCTATGCTACCAGCCGCTCTTAGAACCATTAAACTGAGTTTTAGTATTGTTTAGAAAAAGTTGCATATACTATCAAGATGGCACAAGGAAAAACCCATGAGTAGAGTCTGGAAGATAATTCAAGGAAGGAAACAGTGTAAAACAGGTTTATATCTATACCAGCCAATTACTTGAACAAAATGTGGTAGGCTGGTTAATAGAATTTTTTGCTTTATCCCTAAAGTCTTTGCCTAGTAGAACTTGTACAAGACGATAGCTGGAGGCTTGTTTTTGTACAAGTTCTTAACATCTGCCCAAAATGAGTATTTTTATTAAGACACCATTTCTAGCCTTTAATCAACCAAGAACCTAAACACTGGAGGTATTTATAAGCCAGAGTAAATTTCTCCTAACCTTAACCTAGAAAATCTTACAATGCAGCAAGACATCAGGACCTAATTCCATTTACTTGCTTCATTTTACCCTCCAACATGGAACTAAGATATAACCTACATGTATGTGTATATCTATATGAACATATATTAGATATTTTGTTTTTTATTTAATTATGCAAACATAAAATAAAAGTTACTAGAAAATAATTCAACCAACTACAAAAAAAGTAATAAAAAAAACAACCTGCTTTTGCTGCTTGAGTCGAAACCTTCCAGGAGTTTCCATAGGCTCCGCGTGAAACATCTTTTGGAGTTCCGCCTTGTCCCTTACAAAGAGAAACTAAAACTTTACCTTGATCACAAAGTTGGGTAACAGAGCTTTCAAAAAACTTTTCTAAAAGAAGACGGCATTTTTTAATGTTAGACTTTCCTCCTACATGTGGAAAATTAAATATAATCAAGGCAAACTTATGATTTGGGAAATATTGTGAAAGATTTGTAGCATCCACATTGTGCTTGACCACAACATTTGGCTGACTGTATAAAAACTTTACATTAGTAGAAGCGCACTCGTCTGCAAAAATTGTCTCTTTTGAATCTAAAGAGGTTGCATGTATTTTGATAGAAGAAGTAAAACATGCCAAGTCCATTGAAAAAGAAAAATTGCCATCACCAACAATAAGAATTCCATCATGAGGATCTTTAGCTGATTGAATATTTGTAAACAAATCAAGCATTTTTTAACCATTAATTATAATAACAAAAATACTGACTTTTTTAAACAATTAAAATTACATCTATTGGTACAAAAAATTAGAAAAAAAAAAAAAACAACTTTGTTAGTTAAGCAAATAACAACATTTTGAAGTAAAATTTAAATAAATAGCAGTCCAATTATAACTTATTTTATCATTATAATATCAAGTGTATTAGATGACAACAACTAAACTATCATTTAAATTTTTTAAAATAAAATAAAAACAACATTTAGAAACATTTAAAAGCGTTCAAAAACATTTTCAAATATTAAATTTCAAATAAATTGCGTCAGAAATAAGAAATATATTTGAGAATACTAATTACAATAATTTTTATGTAAAAATTGTTTGAGTTACTTCAACTTTTATACAGATGCAATCTAAGTTTTAAATTTCATTACAGCCATGGTTGCCAACCAGGATATAGCTTGCATAAATTTTCAGTACTTTGGGCTTCCTGAATCAAGTAATTTACATGTCCTTGAATACTTAAAAAACCACCTCCCTCCATACCAGATAACTTTTGTTTTAAACGAAGCAAGACTCGCTCAGCCATTTTATTTTTTTCAATATCGCTTGCTTTGCCTCTATTATCATTATCAAAAACAGTTCTGCCATCTTGTGCTTCAAGAAAATCACTACATTTAGCTTGTATCTGAACTGCCTTACTAGTTGTGACAGTCCATGTTGATAACGGATCATAAAGAAGAACCTAAAGAGTCAATTAAAAACATAATAATTTTTGTGCAAAATTTAACTCAGTTCAACAAAAACAACAACAAAAAATACTTCAATGATGGTTATAATGGCGTCTCGAGATTCTCTCATCAGTAAAAGTGTCTCTTCGCAGCAACGTCGAAATACACCTTCAATTCCTATTATTCCCATTCCATCTACAATGTCACGTGTAAGACGAAATGGTACCCTTTCAGGTGTTGGAAGAAGCCTTCCTTGTTCAAAAGCAATGCCTAAAAAAACGTGTAAAAAAATTTTTTTGTTATAAAAGTTAAACTTTATTTTTTAATCATATTTACTTATAAATTTTTAAAATGTTAAAAAATATATAATAAAATGTTACAATAATTGGCGTTCATTTTAAAATTAATCATATAGTTATTACACCCTTCAAAAAAAAAATACATTAAATATTTATGTCAGGTTTTTTTAAAGTTATTTTTATGTCAGGTTTTTTTAAGTCATTCTTTTCAGAGGCCAACATAAAATTTATTAATAATTTTTTCAAAAATTATAAAGTGTTAAAATTAATCATATAGTAATTACACCCTTCAAAAAAAAAAATACATTAAATATTTATGTCAGGTTTTTTTAAAGTTATTTTTATGTCAGGTTTTTTTAAGCCATTCTTTTCAGAGGCCAACATAAAATTTATTAATAATTTTTTCAAAAATTATAAAGTGTTAAAATGTTCAAAAAAAGTTCCAAACATTTAATAGCCTCATTTTTTGAGCCCTAAAAGATATTTTTTGTAATTTGAAATCTAATTAGAAATTAAGATCTTATTCAAGAGAAAGCAACTTTTCCTTAAATATAATTTCCTTCAGGGAGAGTTAGAGGCTTTTATAGAAGTTTATGTTCAAGTTCTCAAGTGAATGCCTCAAATAATGTGGCAAATGTCTTAAATAATGTGGCGAATGCCTCAAATAATATGGCGAATGCCTCAAATAATGTGGTGAATGCCTCAAATAATGTGGTTTCTGTTCAAGTTCTCACATAATGTGGTGAAAAATTAAAGTTTTATTTAGAGACTGATTGCAAAAGATATCTCAAAATTAAAATAAAAAATGTCTCAAAATTAAATCTCAATAATCATAGAAAAGTCAATTGCCAACTAATTAATAAAAAGTTGTTTTTTCTAAAATAAACAATCATAAATGAATGTTTATTTTAGTGTGTTTTAAAACAAAAACTAAAGCATACACACACACACACACAGATAAATTTTCAACATTTTGTTTAAGAAAATTGGTTAAATTTGCTTTAGAGTGTGTTTAGTAAATTTTTGTAGTATTAAGTCGACATTTTAATAAAATTTAGCTATTGAAGTTTTACTGCTCTCCTTAAAAACTTCCATTTTACTTATAAATTTTCAAAAAAAATAAAGTGAAACAATATAGTCAAAGGACCAAATTTTAATCTTTTATTGGTTGTGATAGATGATAAAGGTAGTCTAGTAGTTAACGTATTTACACATTGTAACAGTGTTGAGTCTTTGTTGGGTATTATTTTCAACAAAACAAATGTCAACACTGAGTATAAAACCAGGCTTTGTGCCAGTCTTGAACAAAACCTTAGACAGAACAACTAGAACAACAGAGGAATCGAATATCCTCCTTATTCAACAGACATGAATCTGTGTTATATTTTCTTATGGGGATATCTTAAAGATAAAATCTTTAAGAACTCACCAAGAACACTGGATGATCTGAAAAGTGTGATTACAGAGCAGTTATCTTTGATTTCAAATAAAATGCTCTCAAAAGTTTTTGATAGTTTTTTTGATAAACTATGTTACTTAATTGTATCTGAAGGTAAAAATTACATTTCTCCCTATAATTCTGTATTTTTCTATATTACCATTGCTTGTTGATGCTTTGTTTAAATATGATTTATCATTATCAGCAAAAGCAGTAATAGAGGCATTAGTTGCAATGTTGGCAGTATTTGGCTTTTCAAAAACCAATGATGGCATTGACTTGGTTACAGGATAACTACATGGCATAATTTCATAATTTAAAAAAATTATAAATTGGGAAGTAAACTATTTTGCTCCACTAAAACTACCCTATTTTACTCTATTGTAGTGTGGTATAAAAAAATGCATTATTATTAAATACAATAAAAGCTTTAGTTCAAAGCTTTAATTATTTCTTAAGCTGTAAGATGATTCAATAAAAGACATGTGAAAACAGTATTTACTTTGTAACAATAATGACTTGTAAAAAGTGGATTATAGTACAAAATAATGTTGTATTGTGTTACTTTAAAATCAATCACTTGCAATTTTTGTGGCTCTGAAAAGGGTGTGTTTGCAAAACCCCATTTTAATTAATATCCTGTTTTACCCCAGTTATATACATTTTATTACATACAATTTTACCATAATTGACCCGCAGGTAAATCTTTTCAATTTAGTTTATATTTAAAAAAATATATATAATAAAAAATGCTTTACAAAATCTTGAAAAAATAATTTAAAAAATCATTCAAACATAAAAAACATAAAAAGGTCAGTATTCTAATACAGTTAATTCCCAATAACTTGAACCTCCAAGGGACCAAGAGAAATGGTTTGACTAAAGCAAATTTTCATTAAATCGAACTTTGGCTGATATGAGATATTAGTTCAAGATAAGGTGATATTCCTTTATTTAATGCTAAAGTATATATACCATTATACTAATTTTTTAATGAAAGAAATAACAGATTATATTCATGCAGATAGTCAAAAGATAACATACAAAAAAGTTTAGAGACACAATGACTTCCTTATTATTTGGTAATAAAATTGCGTCTAAAAAGTCTTTTATTTAGAAATTCATTGAACTATGTAATAATTGTTTTTTTAATGGTTTTATCATGATTTATATTTTAACAGTTTTATTATAACATTATTTTAAATTTGATTATAATCTATTTTATTCAGATCTAAATATAACGAAAAAATAAAATATTATGCTACAGTTATTTATGTTTTATATGGAATGATTTCTTTTTTTATGCTACAGTTATTTATGTTTTATATGGAATGACTTCTTTTTTTATGCTACAGTTATTTATGTTTTATATGGAATGAGTTCTTTTTTAAAAAATGTTTAATTATGTCAATATCTTTAAATCTCATAAAAAAGGTGTTATCCAAAGAAATTTGCAGAATGGGTATGCAAAAATCCCATAAAAAAGGTTTGTGTTATCCAAAGAAATTTGTTGATTGGGTATGCAAAAATGGTTCAACTTAATGAAGTTCGAGTTACCCAAGGTTCAACTTAAGTGGAGAATTTTAATAAAAAATGGTTAGACGATTTTAAGGGACCAAATGAAACAGTTTGAGGTAACAAAAGTTCAAGTTAACCAGTAATAGACTTACCAGGAATTAACTGTGGTAAAAAAAAACTGACACTTAAAAAAACAACAACTAACAAATAATACCTAAATCTATATGCACAATTTCTGCAGTATTGCAATCAATAAGAATATTTTGACAATGTCGATCACCCAAACCAACAATGTAACCAACTAAAAATAAATAGATGATTAAGATGAATTTATATATTATATAAAAAAAAAAAAAAATACTATACTAAATAAAAAATAGAATCTATTTTATTTTGAATTAACTTGTACTATTGCAGTTCTAATTTTCAACATAACTTGCACCAATATTGCACTAGCATGTAATAAGTTTTGTCTGTGCAGTGCTAGAAAACAGTATAAATTAAACCCTAACAGTGCTATCTTAAACCATAACTTGCATCAATACTGGACTAACATGCACTCATATCTCAATCATAATTGTAAGATTATTTATACCTGTGCTTTCATTATTTTGTACCATTGCAGTTCTAGCTTACTTACAACATAACTTGTTGTAAGTAAGCTAATGTTGAGCAGCATACGCATATATATATATATATATATATATATATATATATATATATATATATATATATATATATATATATATATATATATATATATATATATATATATATATATATATATGATATATATATATATATATATATATATATATGATATATATATATATATATATATATATATATATATATATATATATATATATATATATATATATATATATATATATATATATATATATATGTATCAATTATATTTGAACTATTAATTTTGAAATGAAATGTATTAATTATAACTATGCCTCCATTTATTAATAATAACAAAAACAAAAGCCACTCAAGAATTTGCAAATAAAGAACTTAAAGTTTATTTACAATATGTAAGAAATATCGCAAAACATGTTTTGTTTTTGAATGTAGTCTAGTAATAGACTACATTCAAAAACATGTTTTGTTTTTGAATGTAGTCTAGTAATAGACTACATTCAAAAACATGTTTTGTTTTTGAATGTAGTCTAGTAATAGACTACATTCAAAAACATGTTTTGTTTTTGAATGTAGTCTAGTAATAGACTACATTCAAAAACATGTTTTGCTTTTGAATGTAGTCTAGTAATAGACTACATTCAAAAACATGTTTTGTTTTTGAATGTAGTCTAGTAATAGACTACATTCAAAAACATGTTTTGTTTTTGAATGTAGTCTAGTAATAGACTACATTCAAAAACATGTTTTGTTTTTGAATGTAGTCTAGTAATAGACTACATTCAAAAACATGTTTTGTTTTTGAATGTAGTCTAGTAATAATTACCGCAATATTAATAGACTACATTCAAAAACATGTTTTGTTTTTGAATGTAGTCTAGTAATAGACTACATTCAAAAACAAAATAGTAAAATAGTAAAAACAGTAATTCTACTAATATCAAGTAAACATTAAAAATATAGATCTTTATATATATAATTAGTAATAATTATAAGAATAATAATTATAATAATAAAAATAATATTTATAGTAATAAACATAAGAACAACAATAATAATAAAAAAACAACAACAATAACAATTATAGTATTAGTTAAATTAAAAAATATTTTTAAGTTTTAAATTCAAATAATAAGTCACTTGTTTTTATAAACACAATAACTAAATATACATATAAGTTAGTTACCAACAATTGGCTGATAAAACGTAACAACTGACAAGAACATAAAACATTTACTTAAATTGAAAATAATAAAATATGAATAATAACAGTAAAGATAAAAATAGTAATAATTGTGGCAACGATAAATATTTAAAACTAAAAGAAATAAAACTATAACAAAAAACATGACAAAAATTAAAGATAAAATAAAGAAAAATAAAAAAGCATTAAAAAAAATGAGAAAGTTTAATATTGTTACATGCACACACAAATATAAAAGACCTCGTTTTCTAAAATTTGCTGACTTCCATGACGACATTTGCGGACTGTCTAGATTACCGACTAACATATATCGAAAGGGTTGACATTAGCTAGTCTAAAAGGCTAAAAGGGTCCAATTTACCGACTAAAAATCATTGATGAGGGCGAGGGGGGAAGGGGATTGCACATCCCCCCCCACACACCCCTACACCGGCCTTGGATACATATACAGCTTTAAAAAAATATATATTTTTTAAAATGCCCAACTAACATAAAATTAAAAAAATTTAAATTAAAAAACATATGATGCAAACAACACACTAAATTATATAACAAAATGAATTATTAACAATATACAAGAATACAAAACCAAAAAACAACAACAAAAAAAGAAATAAAAAATTTATACACTAATACTGACTTAGGCAGTCAATATAAGTGTATGAAGGTAAAAAATAATTTTTTTATGAAAAATATAAAAGTAAAAAATTTGTTATATATATTGATGATGCCACACTGAAATAGCTATCTACAAGGTTTCAGTACATATTCATATTATACATTCAACTGAGGGTTTAGGCAGGTGTTATCTAGAAATAAAGAACAACTTTTTTCATTGTTTTTTCTTCTTTTTCTGAAAAAATTCTGTTTAAGCCTGCGCTTTAAAACTTGATAAGGTAATATAAAATATATTAGGACAGTTACTGCCTAATTACTCAAATGTTTGTACATATGTATACATACATACATACATTAAACCTCGGTTTTAAAGCCTTTTTCTTGGGAGAGGTAAAGACCTGAGTCTATATCTCTGGAAAATGGCATCTATAGTTTTCAATTTTCACCTATGGCATCTATGGTTTCAATTTTTAAAAGCCTGGAGATTACTCTGACTATGACTATGATTACATTTTTACTATTATTAGCAAGGTCTTGATAAAAACTAATAAACTTTTAACGTCTTAACTTGAGATCTAACAACATCTTCTCCAACAATAAATACTGATTTCCCAGGATTGTTGAAAGGTTGCATCACTTTCTTTTTTCTTCAAAAAAAAAATATATATATTTGCTGCTCAAGCCAGTTATCACATCTTGACCTTTAACTTTTTTCTTTGCTTTTTGTTAACACCCAACTTAATTAATGGTTGCTTGCAGACTTGATGGGAGTGCATTTGTTGAAAATAAAAAACTATGGCAACTAAAATAGGATTATTACTTAACAACAGTACAATATATCATTTGAGTGATCACAAGTTTCAGTGCTCTCTCCAAAGAATTGGTATTGAAGTCTAACAGAAAAAAAAGTTTTATTTATATCTAGTTTTATTTTTACAAAAGCCTTTTGTACTCCATAGAATTCTGTACTCCTATAGCTCCTCAAGCTTCTTATGAGCTTTTTATCATAGTTAACACCTATGAAAGAGTTATCCATAATATTTAATACAACTCATAATCTATGAAAAAAACAAAAGTACTATCCACTTTTAGAACTAAAATACTTAGATACCTGTAAATTTTTATTAACTTTAAGATTAAAACTGAATTTTATATAGTGATATATATTAGCTAATAATTCATACAGGACCCCTTTTATTTACTGCTCTTTTTACTGCTTGATGAATGAAAGTGGAAAGAAATGAATATTGAAGCTAAAAAGAAATAGATATTTATTTACCTATTGAACACACAGCAACACTTTTTGTATAACTCATTCTTCTTTCAAACCAAACTGCAGGATCTTTAAAATTTTCAGTAAAAAAATGTCGAAAAACAGGATGAAAGTGTTTCATAATTTTCTAAAAGTAAAAACTAACAAACAATAAAAACAAAACACAGTATGTTCAAACTTTTTACTTATTGAAAACTACAAGTTGTCATTTTGTTTGAATTATAAACTCTGTTAAAGTTTTCTTATCATTATATATTTATACTCATAATAACAAAATATAAAATTTATATTAATAATAAGAAAATAAAAAAATTCTCACTAAAAACACATTAAGTTTAGAATTTTTGCCATCATGAACAGTTGCTTCCTGTTAATAAAAAATGACTTGTTAAAAAACTTCTCATAAAAAAATACTTAAAAAAATAAGCTTTAATTAGCTTAAAATAAAACTAAAAAAGTTTCTCTCGGTACATCTATAAATAAAACTAAAAAAGTTTCTCTCAGTACATCTATAAATAAAACTAAAAAAGTTTGTTTCTCTCAGTACACCTGTAAATAAAACTAAAAAAGTTTCTCTCAGTACATTTGTAATTAAAACTAAAAAAGTATGTTTCTCACAGTACATCTGTAAATAAAACTAAAAAAATTTTTTTTTCCACCGGTACATCTGTAAATAAAACTAAAAAAGTTTGTTTCTCTCAGTACATCTGTAAATAAAAAAAAATTAGCTTACTAATAGCTTTGCTCGACAATCTGAATGTGACCAATCATTTGGGTAGTATCTTTTATGTGCACCAGCATTGCCATTTCGACCACAAAGAAGATATTCACCAAGAGGAATAGTACCTTCACACCATTCCATTACACCACTTTTGCGGGACAGAGGTACAACCTATAAAAAGTAAAACTTTTAATAAAGTAAAGTAACTTAAAAAAACAACAACAACAAAAAACATAAAAATAAACAAACCTTGTATGTTCGCACTGATAGATTTCTTCTTTTACATTTAAGATCATTTTTTAGTAAAAGGTTTACAACTCCAAAAACCTGTTGCATCACTGCATCCTGTCTTAAATCATCTCTACCCTAAAATAAATAACATGTAAAGCTATAAACTTTTTTAAAAGAAAGAACAACCAAACTGTTGGAACAATGAAGTTCCTATTAGCATTAAAATAAAAACACAATGAAAACCCATAGAAAAATATGAGGTTTAACAAATCTATTTATTATAGAGATTAAGTTGTGTAAATAGAGAAAAATAAACAGAAGCTCTGAGGGATACAGTATAATAAACAGAAGCTCTGATGGATACAGTATAATAAACAGAAGCTCTGATGGATACAGTATAATAAACAGAAGCTCTGATGGATACAGTATAATAAACAGAAGCTCTGATGGATACAGTATAATAAACAGAAGCTCTGATGGATACAGTATAATAAACAGAAGCTCTGATGGATACAGTATAATAAATAGAAGCTCTGATGAGTACAGTATAATAGGAAAAACATCATAAAATCAAAGTAAAACATTCTGCATTCAAATAAAGTTACAAATCTAAAAATTAACAACAAAAATAATTTCAAAATACTAAAGCCTAAAGTACAAGTTGCTTTTTAACTAATCATACTGTATGACACATTGTGCAAAGAACTAATCATACTGCATGACACATTGTGCAAAGAACTAAAAATACTGTATGACACATTGTGCAAAGAATTGTATTATAATATTATAATAAGACTATATTTATATATGTAACAGCTTAATATTTTATAAATAAAAAAACAACATAAATATTATAATTAATAAATACTATGAAATTATATAAAAATGATGTTGAAAGACACAAAATAATCATAGATCATCCAGGTCATATTTTAAAAATCTGTAAAATTGTTTTGGTAGATTATACGGAAAAAATCCAAAAAATTTTCCCTTACTTTTTTCTTAATCTTGTGTTTGAGTTGTTTCAAAAATTAAAAAAGTTTTTCCAAACTTTTTTAATTTTTGTATGAATGATGAGTGAAAAAGCTTAAAAACAATATATGTTACAAAAATATACATCTAAACTTGTATGTATGTAAAATATATCCGGATATCCGGAAAAACTAAAAATTGAGAAAAATATCCGGAATTCTGGAAATATCCAGAAAAAGATAATCACTGAATAATAAATGATATTGTCTGATAGATTGTTGTTAAAGCTTATGGTGTGTAAATGTTCATTGTGTCTGTAATAATAATTACAGTATTGTGAAAAATTTAAGAGCAACCAAAAAACAAACCATTATTTTTATTTAATTTTTAAATTTTTATTTAGTCAAATATATTTTTCTGGTAAAAATAGTAATAATAATAAATTTTAGAAAATAGGCAAACAAAATAAAAAATAGTAATAACGCCAAAGACAAATAAAAAAAATGTATTTAAAGTTTTGTGGGTAACTTTTATTTTAAAAAAATTGTGAAAAAGTTAAGAACCACAGAACAAAAAATGGTAATTTTTACTTAATACCGTGTAATTCTACCATGAATTTTTAAGCACTCATTTATGCAATTTGCCATTGAGCCTATTAAATTCTCTAAAATACGTTTGGGAATATTTCCAAGTATTGTGGGTAAAATATTGCACAACTCCTCAAGGCTCCTTGGTCCTTTCTTAGCAATCTCTTTATCTCCAAAGATTTTCAATGCAATTTAGATTTGGGCTATTTGGTGGCCAAGTTAGACGCTCAATATTTTTGCTTTCAAACCATTCAGAGACAATTTTAGCCCTGCAACATGGTGCATTGTCTTGTTGAAAAATAAATAAAACGCTTTGCTCAAGTACATCAATTGATGGTAACAAGTTGTTATCTAAAATATTGACATAATAAATAGAGTTGAGTCGACCATCAAATAATTTAAACATATTGAAACCATAAATGTCATGCAGCGCCATATTTCAACTGATCTGCTACCTTGTTTTGTTCTTTGAACGATACAACCGAGATTATATTTTTCTGAAGGCTGCCTGGGAATCATAATTCAGTTTTTTCGGTTATCAACCGAAAAGCCGATGCTTGACGTCCATTTGAAAGCTTCCATTCCCTTCTTAATTCATGCGACGACATGGTTTGATTTTTTTTTGCCAACCTGATTAAAAGGCAATCATCATTGGGTGTTGTCAAATGTGGTCTTCCAGAACGATAACGATCAACGTAAGATTTTGTCTCTCTGAATCTTTTGATAACTGTTAGCACCGAACTATGTGATCGTTTTATTATTGTTCCAATTCACAAGCCGTTTTACCTTCCTGGTGAAAATGCACTACTTTTACACAATCTTCATATAATAGAAAATTATTTATAAATATTAAATAAATAATTATAAATAATTTTCTGCCCATTTTTTCAAAAGAAAAGATTTTTTTTTTGTTTGAAATTAAATACTTTTTTTTAAATACTTTTGGTTTGTTGGTAATGACTCAGGTCATTAATAGAATATTTAAATAAAAAGGTAAAAATCAATTAAAAAAAGTCGTTTTGACCGCATTTAGCACCAAAAAAAAAAAAAAAAAAAAAAAAAATTGAAAAAATTTAACACATAATATTTAATCCTTATTTTTATAGGCTCTATTAATTAATTTTCAAAAAAAAAAAAATCTTTTTTCTCATGTACTATTTAATATGTTTGAAAAAAAAAAGACTATTTTATTATCTTTAGAATAAAAATTAATTAATTCTATTTTGAAAAAATTATTTTTTTTATTTAGTTGCTCTTAACTTTTTAACACAATACTGTATGTAAATATGGAAAATGTTTATATGATATCTTGATATTTTTGGAGCAAAGTAAAAAGTTGTAAAAACAATTAAAGAAATTATAGTATTTAACTATTTAAAAAAAAAGAGATTTGGAAAAAAAAATTAAAGATTTCAACTCTTAATCCTAAAAGTTTTAAATAATTTAAAACTGAAGTAACAGGTAACAGTTTGAACTGCCATCAAACTTACTTTTTATTAGTTTTTACGTTGTTTTTTTTTTTAAATTTTTAATTTTATAATAAATTTATAATAAACTTTCTTCACTATTAGCAGTATATTGGATAAGGTTGCTATTTTGCAATTATAAATCGCAATCATCTCAATAAAAAAACTGAACAAAGTAAAGCCTGCCACACACTAATTATCCTGAAACAAATTTAATCAACCATTAAACAAATTGACTTACAAAAATAAAGATACCTTAACAAGTTGCCGTCTTGTTTTACCATCTGATCCAATACAGCTAACTATTTTTGGCAAGTTAATACCCCCTGCATGCGTAAATTGACCATCAAATTTTGTAATATATATGACCTTCTCATATTTACAGGATGGATCAATCTATAACAAAATAATTTTTAAAATAGACAAGTAAATCAATTCATTAAAAGATATCAAAAAGCTAATAAGAATTGTTACATAAATCATAAGGTATCATAAATTTTTTATTTATTTACAATTTAGTTATTATCATTTCTTTTGAAAGACAAGACTTTTTGATTTGTCACATGATTCACTTCAAAACAAAAATTTAGAAACAAATTATAATAACCTCAAGAGGAATTGTAGGGCATGCGATTGTTTCCAAATTACTAATTTTTCGAATCAACTTTGCTTCAGGAAGTTGAAATGGACCTAAAACCATAATAAAATACATTCCATTATAGTTGACTATAACACTTATGTACTTGTTCAACAATAAGAAAATATATTTAATTACAAATTTGATCAATTATAATGTCTATTGGTATTATAATTGACAATAATCACAAAGATAAAAACCTTTCTGATTTTTTAGATGGCTAATATCCCAATATGCAAGTTCAATATACGCCATAACCAATCGCTCTGTATCTTGAATAATCTTAGGGCTTGAACATTTTAAACGATTTAAAACATTTTGAGCTGCTTGTATTCTGGACTAAAGATGTTATGATAAGAATTAATTATACATTTAGCACAATAAAAAGGTATTGTTTATAAATTCAGCTCAATATAAAGATTTTATGAAAAAGGATTTACTATAGATTTGGCACCAAGTAAGGTTTTCCTAAAGGATGCCCCATTTTTATAAGACATATAGATGCCTTTTTTTTGTCTTTTATTTTTACATGTATTCACTTTCCCTTACCTGCATGGGGCTACTACAGCTGAAGTTTGTTTCTCCTCAATTTAAGAAGTATTAATAATTTATTGCTGGAAAAACTTAGAACATGTTTGTTAATATGGTGCAATAAAAAAAAACTTTATGATGAAGTTTTTTATGGAACCAATTATTTTCTGTAATGCAATTTTGTGACTTGTCAAATCATTAAGCATTGTTTACATCATTCAGTGATTATGTTGTATTTTTTGAATATCAATCAGATCAACAGCAAACAAGCGAAGGAAGAGAATCAAACAAGCTTTCAACTTTTGTTCTATCAAACAAAACTCAATCTTGCGAGACTTGTCATTCAGCTAAATGATGTCCTAGTACTGTAATTGTTCCTTCATGCTCAAAATTTATTACTCATCTTTTTTTTTTTTTTCACAAAAAACAAAGCTCTAATTTTATCTTTCATTACCATGTTTTATAAACTTGGACAATTTACAGCTTTTCAAGTTTTCTATCAACCTCGCTCTTTAACTCTCTGCTTTGCTCACAAACTCTAAAATTGTGGTTACATGCAGCTAGTGATTACTTGCAGCCAGTGGTTACTTGCAGCTAGTGGTTACTTGCCACTAGGAATTAATTTGTTGAAAAAAAAAACAAAAACATAAAATATAAAAAATAACTAATATTATGACACCAACATACTTTATCTTGTACATCCTGTTCAGATGTAGACAGTTTATTAGATCGTTTTATATCTCTTGAATTCATTCTTCCTTCTATATCTGCATTGCAAAGTGCAAAAAGGATAAACAAGGTGTGATGTGGATGATCCATAACACATTGTTCTATTATCTGTATAATAAAAAAGATTGTTTTATTATTCTTATATTTTATTTTTCTTACTCATTATTTATATATACACCTTGCTATAAATATTACACATTATAATTGAAATATTAAAAGCATCACCTTTTGTAGATTATTGTTAAAAAAATCGCATTGTTGGGTCATGGAAGTTCCTAAACGAGCCGCAAGTTGATACATCACAAGTAAGAACTTTTTTGAAGGAAGGTGAACCATGTTTTCCTGGATTTTTATAATATACAGGTTTTAAATATCAGATGTCTTTGAAAAAAAACATTCTTGTTAAATTTATTTGGATTTTCTAATGCTCTGGAAAGATGAAAGAAATTTTTCTAAAGTGCTCTCAAAAATATATACCTTCAGTTCAATATTAATAGCTTCATTATCAAAATTTTCGAACCACAATGAACATAAACGAAGAACTTTTAAGTCATATTTGTCCTAAAAATAAAAAAAATAAAAAAAACCAAATGAAAGGAAAAAATATTTTAAATTTTGATAATAACAAAAATATTGTTTGAACTAACTCCACATTGAAGACACCTGCAATAGTTATGGATTGCTTTTTGCAAAAATCGTTTTTTATCATTATAAACTTGATCCCGCTCTGTCTCATCAATATTCAGCTGCTTCTCAATGCTTGTAGAGTGATGTTTTCTAAATAAATAAAAAGTAAATTACTAAATAAAAGTATTACTACAAATATACAAAGAATTGAAATTTAAATAATTTTATATTATATATTATTTAAATGTTCTCACAATTGCTGGTCAATAATTTTTTTTGGAATGGTAGATAACTCAACCTAAAATGAACACATTTATATAAATGTACACTCATATATATATATATATATATATATATATATATATATATATATATATATATATATATATGTATATATTTTATATATGTATATATTTTATATATGTATATATTTTATATATGTATATATTTTATGTATATATATATATATACATGTATATATTTTAAAATGTGCTGGATGCTTGTAACAGCTACAAGTAAAGGAACTAGCAATTTCATTCTATAAACAGGTATTTTAAATCTTTTTATAAAATATAATAACATCTTATACGTTGTATAAGATATTTGATAAGATAATTTTAAGCATTATAAATAATATATCTAATATTTATTTACGCAGCACTTAAGCATTAATCATGCAGAAATTTATAAAAATAGAAAAAAAATTTGCTGTGTTACAACAATCAATTGTAAATGATTAATAAAAACACAATCATCAGGCAAGTAGTCAAAAGTTAATTTTACTACAATGTGTTTAGAAAAAATTTACAGTTTATATTAGTATTTTAGATCGTTATGGGACGGAAATTATTTAGTAGTTAAGGTTAATGTTATTATTAATTTGTTTTTAGTTAATATATGTGAAGTTGTTGTATGTTTTAATGTCTGTTATAAAAATACGATTTAATAATAATGTGAATTGTTTTTAAAAATTGTTGTATTAAAAATAAATGAATATAAAAATAAGTTTCAAAAGTGGGTATAAGAATATAAATTATATTACGAAATATATTACAAAAGCTGTATATGTGAATAATTTATTGGTTAGCCTAGAAGTGTACAAAATAGGGTTGCGTAGTTAATGTTAGTGGTTAGTTAGGTTTGTAGTGAGCTTTGTAGTTTTTTAATAAAAACTTGTTTTCGTGGCGGCACTTTGATATGATTTCGTTTCGTTTATTTAGGAGTTCATCAGGTTTAGGATAGGATATAATTGCGAGTTTCTCGTATAGACATAGTGGGCACCTTTTAAAAATATTTGAGTAGGGGAGTACAGATTTCAGAATAGACCATGTAAATATTGGTGTATATGTATATATATATATATATATATATATATATATATATATATATATATATATATATATATATATATGTATGTATGTATATATATATATATATATATATATATATATATATATATATATATATATATATATATATATATATATATATATATATATATATATATATATATATATATATATATATATATATATATATATATATATATATATATATATATTGATGGTTAAGAGCACAAAGGGAATATGTCCAACATTAAACATTAGGTAAGCATTAAACAAATTAGGTATTAAAGTATGTAAAAGAAATGAAAATAAAACAGTAAAAAACAAGACAGAATTAATTGAGGAATGTATTTGGTTAAAAATCATGACATTAAATAAATATCATGAATTATTGTATGCTTTCAAACTTTCAAATTCAGATTTCTCAAAACAATGGTTAGTGGACATATTCCCTTTGTGCTCTTAACCATCGATATATGTTAGGGTGGTTTAGATTAAGACAAAAATTTTTTCAAACTAGAGTGGAAGCTTATAAGTTGTGCACACCCTTGTTTTATATGTAAGGTTTTTTTTTTAATTCAAAAAAAGTTTGAGGTGGCACACAACCCTAAAGTACTTTTTTTTCACGCTTTTTTGAGATTTTTGACCCATGTTTGCCACCCTTCAACATTATTTAATTTAATTTTTTTTCTATATTTATTCTCACAATAACTTTATTGAAACCAGTTAAAATTATACCATGAATATAATATGACTAATAAAAAAAAAAAGGCACTCTTTCTGTTATTTATTTTCTTAACACAGAAAAAGTAATAAAGTAGACAAAAAAAATTATTTCTAAGGTCTTTTTTATAACAAAATTCACTTTATTTAGTCAAATTATAAATAAGATATTAAAACACGCATATTATTTCGGATATCAAACTTAATGAAGTATCTATAGTAAAGTGGATCACCTTTCTTTTTAAGATGCAGGAGGACAAGTAAGAAAAACAAAATTAACGCAACAATAGACTTTTTTAAAATTATTAACGAATTATTGTTTAAAAATACCTGTGTATTTTTAAACAACAATTAAAATGTAAAAATTAATAATGTAAAAATTAGTTGTGTTTAATGCTAAATCTGTTTTCATTTCTCTTATCTATATCTTATATAAAATTAGATTATTTTATCAATCAAACAATAAACTAACCTTTTTTAATCTCTTTTCTATGGAACAGCAGTTGAAGAGACTTCTCTAAAGAACCACTGAGCCCAAAAGATGCCTATAAACATAGCCATATCTCTTTTTTATTTTCCTCTGATAAGTTGGAATGATTTCCATCAGTAAATATAATTTAAGGTAATATGATGCTTTTCCCATGATTCTTACATGATGCAACGGACCAGGAATATGAAATTTAAATTAAAAAACTGATTGTCTGGACCAGACATTTTATTACCGGGAGAAATCTTGTTAAAGTAGATAAAATGTCTTTCTAAAACAAGATGTCTATAGACAAGGAAAAGTAGTGGCCGCTTAAAATAATGTGTTATTCTTGTTTTTACTCTGTGGTGCTTTCGAGTGTTGGAAGCAGTAGTATCAAAACATATACACTGTAAATGATAATCAGTCTAGTAGCTCACTCTTCCCGTTTACTTTCATTAGTACAGCTAATCTTTCTCTTGTGGCTGAAACGTTATCTGTATACTCTTTAAATAATTTTCCATCAAAATGAACAGAAATCAGCTTACATGTGCAATTTGTCAAGTCTTTAAAATAATGTCCAATTTTTTGAGCTTCTGAACTTATCACTTTATCAACAGCTAGAAGAGATGATGATTTAGATAAAACAAATTCATTTATTTTTCTTCCTGAGATAGCTATAACACTGCATATGATAGCAGTGTGCTGGTTGGCAGAAAGCCCTTCTCCAACAGCAGTTAGCGCTGTACGCTTTAGAATATCTTTAGGCAGTATTATACTTAGTTCTTCTTCTTGGGTATTACCATTTAGCTCACTTTTAACAGAGTCATTGCATTCTGAGCTTAAATAATTAGTGATTTTCACATTCTAATTAGTGACATCACTTTTCTACTATATGTAAATCTTTTTCTGAGAATATTTTAGATTTTTTTTTGCAGATCACAGCAGCCTTATTAAAGCTAATATCAGAACCACCTAGATAACCTATTTGCTTTTTTTCCATCTGCATCTGCAAAAACATATGTCCATACCTTTAGTATCTTTTCTATCCATTGTTATTTCATCAATCATAATTTTTATGTCATGTCCCAACCAAATTACCTTTTTAGATTTTAATAAAAAGGTCTCTCTATCCTTGATTGCTCTTGGTGTCAATCTGTTTTTAAAGGATTGCAGCTTTTTATATTTCATTACTAGAGTCTCAACTTCTTTCCTAAAATTAAGATTAATTAGATAACTATATAATTTAATTACATAAAGACATGATAAATAATAATAACCATAAAATATATTGTATGCTACAAATTCCTTCAAGTTCCCAGGGAGTCCCCAGGGAGCATTCAGCTTAGATTTAATGCAGCAATTCTCTTCTGCTTCTGGACAATTTAGTGTAAATGTAGAACTTTTGTTTGGACAACAAACTAAGTTTTTGAGAGAAACGGATGGTTTAGATTCTTGTAGGTAAAGATAATACTGAATTATTTCTTCAACAGTTGAAAACTGAATAGATGATAGTGTCTTCCTAGTTTTTTTAACTAAGAATATATCTTTGCCTCGAATTCTTGTTTTTCCATGAATCTTTGGCATAACTTTTTATTTGACTTTTTATTTCAAGTAAATGAATTATAATAACATAAATTTAAATATCTTTTTAATTTCTAAAAACATATTTCATTGAATATTATGCAAGAACCAATAATATATTAAACACTGCAAATTTAAAGTTACAAAATAAACATTTTACACAAGTTTTGTTCAACATTAAAATAGCAGGTGTTGAAAATTGAGCTTAATACATGAGTACAATGAAATCACACTGCTGACATAGAAACAGTGTATAGAAATAATTAGTGTTTGTGTAAAAAAATAATGAAAAACTTTGTTAAATTAAAAAAAATCAGTATTAATCTTTTTTTAACAACGTTTTTGTTAAAGAAAAAAAAATACATATATATGAAGAGTGCCTAATTTTTTTTTTATATTAATCATTATAAGAATAAATACAAAAAAAAAAAATTAAATGTAATAATGTTTAAGGGTGGCACACATGGGGCCAAAAAATGTCAAAAAAGGGTAAAAAAAAAAGTACTTTATGGCTGTGTGCCACCCTAAAACTTTTTTTAAATAAAAAAAAAAATCTTATATATAAAACAAGGGTCTGCGCACCTTATAAGTTTTCACTTTGGTTTGAAAAATTTTTTAACTTAATCTGAACCACCCTAATATATATATATATATATATATATATATATATATATATATATATATATATATATATATATATATATATATATATATATATATATATATATATATACACATATATATATAGTTAACAAAACTTAGTAGCTCATAAAAAAATTAAAGTCAAAATTGAAATCTACATACTGTGTGCTAAAAAAAAAAAAGATAAAAAAAATAAAACCTCTAAACATTTATTAATACTCTTTTGTTTATTTTTTACTATTTTTTTAATCACACCAATGTGAACATTTATTGAAAATTTATAAAAAAATAGACAGAGACTTTTATTGACTATTATTGAATATTTATTATTTTATTGACACAGAGATTATATTATTGTGTGAATGTATATATTGTGCATGTGTATACATTACAGGTAAATATAGTACAGTATATATTGTGTATGTGTATATATTACAGGTAAACTGTTGATAAATAAATAATCTCTGAAAAACAAATTTCTAAAAGCAAATAAATTAACTCAATAATAATCAATAAACTTAAACTTTATATAGTTACAGAAAATGTTTCACTTCCTAAAGACTGAGGGAGCCATTAAAGTCAAGGAAATTACTGTGTGAACCCAACCCTCCATAAATTTAAGCGACAAACACAACAAGCACACACACACTAAAGTTTTTCAAATAAACTTCATTTTCACATATTTCTTTTACTTTTACATATTTTTATTTTATATAAACTTTTTTTAAAATTTTTTTTTTTACTTAAATTTTAATTACACAATTTTCATTTGCGTAACTTTCTGTTAAATATTTAAATTTTCAGTAAGTTTTCAATGATAAAAAACAAAGATATTTACAAACAATGAATAATTGCAAAAAAAATAAATATTGAATAATTGCAAAAGAATATAAATATTGAATATAAAATATTTATATTCAATATTTATATTCAATTATTACCCTATTTTTCCTAATTACAGACTGCTTAATCTCAAAATCTTGTGACTTAGTATATTCGAATAATGCTTCATATTGAACATCTGCATACTTAGCTAAAGAATGATACGCCTAATAATAAAATAGTATTTTACATAACAATAAAATAGTATTTTAAATAATAATTAAATAAATTGAAAAATAAAACTTATAAGTCTATGAAAGTTATTTAATATAAATATCAGAAAACAGTCAATAAGTTTTTTTGTCCTGTTAAAACAATAAATGTCTAATGACAACAAAAAATTAAAAACTTAGGAAAAAGGCTTAAAACCTTGCAAAAAAGTGCAAAATATTAATTTAGAAGACTTACATCAATTGGTGTATATATTCCATTGTAGTCTTTTCTTTCCATAATTGCAATTGCCTTAAATAATCAAATTATCAAACTGCATTTTTTTTAGAAAAAATTAAAAAATTTAAACTAATATTTAAAAAAGATGCTTACAGGTTCTAAATACTTCTCCATAATCTGAACAGAGTTTTGTGACCTGGTTTCTCCGAGCCAGTGACCATACAAACTCAGCGCAACAGGATACAATGAAGCAGCAGCTTCAGATTCAACCTTGACAAATTCAGGATTTTGTACAATTTATTTTTATTATTAATATTCTTAAAGTATTTTAGCTAAAGCATAAAAACCTTTTTATAACAACTGATAAGTGTCTTTAGAACATGAATAGCATGACTAGTTTCTCCTCTGGCCCAATACAGCTTTGCTTCTTCAAGCTTCCAATTTAAAGAAACTTTACCAATCTTTTCAAATTCTCTGAACTGTTGAATGCATTTTTCTGAAATCTTTTAAAAAACAAAAAACAAAAAAAATAGGAACAAAATTAAAAACTTCCAGAAAAAGAAAAAACAAGAAAGTAATGTTAAGGTAATCGAGACTTTGTAAAGGTAATCGAGATTTTGACTAAAAGTTTGAAGTAGCTTTGAAGTAGCATTAACATGTGTTAAGTGGAAGGTTTTTTACAAGAGTCAAAGTTTGACAGTCACTTAAATTTGCTTAATTTTTGGCTAAATGTTTTTGTCTAATTTTTAATAGATATCCACATTATAGTATTAATTGAAAGTATTTTAAAACACACAAATAACAAGAACCCTCAGATAAACAAAGTTTCAAAAGTTAAACACAAAATATAATACATAATATATATATATTATAACATAATAAAAATATATTATTTTGCTTTAGTTCATAGTGTTTTCTAATTTAGTTTAGGTCATTATTACATTATTAATTAAAATATTGTAAAAAGATTTTCAATATAACTTCTTGAAAAAGTTTTATCATTATTATCTCTTGATTTTTTAACAGAATATGAAAAAAAAAAAATTATATCCAGTTTTACAACCAAATGCAACACACTTGTTTAGTTTTCAGGCTATATATATATGTATATATATATGTGTGTATATATATATATATATATATATATATATATATATATATATATATATATATATATATATATATATATATGTGTGTATATATATATATATATATATATATATATATATATATATATATATATATATATATATATATATATACATATATATATATATATACATATATATATATATATATATATATATATATATATATATATATATATATATATATATATATATATATATATATATATATATATATATATCTATATATATATATGTATATATATATATATAAGTTGAATCCCAACAATGATATTAATATGATGAAGCAACCAAATGAATTATAATATGGAAAATATTTTTAATTTTCAATATTCTAAACCACAAATGAACTTATTTTAAATGAATATTATATGCAAGTTGTACCTCAAATCTTTTAGACTCCCTTGCAATTTTACAGAGATGTCTAAGATTCTGCTCTGTAGCATCAAGAATATTTTCACGAACACAACCAATTTTTAAAACTGAAACAGACGCAACAAAAGCTGGCTCATAATACTTGAAATCATTCCGTAGTTCACAGCAGTTTAAAAAACTGTTTGAAACATTACTAAAATAAAAACTTTATTTAAAAATAAATAAAATTTAAAAGTAAAATATTTATCAAAGATATATTTATACAATACAGTCAACTCTCGATATTTCGAATTTTTGTCAGGGTCCTATGGACATAACGCACTTGTTTAGGCTAAAATCCTTTCTATATTTCCAACCTTTATATTTGGAAATTTTTGGCCCATAGGGCAATTTTCTATTGAACTTTTCTTTAGAACTTTTCAACAATTTTTTTCAAGAAATGTTTTAATATCATTTAATTTTTTTTAAATTCCAATTTTTGTAAAGTATTGCTATGAAATTTTTTAAATTTTGATTTTTAAATTCGATTTTTTTTTATGAATCAAGTTTGTGAAAAGTATTCCTTCAATAGATTAAATTATTGTTCTTGTCAAACGTGACAAAAACTCATTATTAATGCCACTCATTAAACGAAAACTTACAAACAAATCTATAATAGACAAATCCAAGGCATTAAAAGACCTGGAGAAAGAGATGTCGAAAAAAAAAAAAAGTTTGCCCATAAGTATGGTATCCCAAAGAACACAATATCAACCTGGGTTAAAAATAAAAACAAATTATTAACCTCCTTGGAAAAAAATGGCACAAAATCTAAATGGAAGAAGCTTCATAGCCGCAATTTCAAAAATGTAGACAAGGCCATATTCACGTGATTCGATGCAAAAAGAAGTCAACAAGCACCAATCGATGGTATCATACTGAAAGAAAAGACACTAAAATTTGCAAAAACATTAGAAGAGTTCAAAGCATCTGATTGTTAATTCCATAATTGGAAAGAAAGGTCAGTGTAATTTTTTCAAATCTTGTTCAATTTAAATATAAACAGACAAACATGCATCTGTTTATATTAAATTTATCAAATGTGTAATTAAAATTCAATTAATCTCTTCCTATTTTTAGGAACAGCATTAGCTTTAAAATAATCTCAGGTAAAAGAACTGCCGTGATAAATGATATGACTGCTTCATAGAATGAAATCACACTTCCAAAATAGCTTTTAATTACAAAGTTAAAAACATTTTCAATGCTGATGAGTTTGGTTTATTTTAACAGTGCCTACCAAACAAAATTCACCAGAAAACTTTTTTGGGGAAAAAATAGTCAGTGCTAACAGGGTGACAGCAGGGAGTGCAACGGGAGAAAAATCATCTATGTTTGTTATTAGAAAATCTAAAAACCCATGATGTTTTAAAGACATTAAACAACTTCCTTACACATATAAATATCAGCTAAAAAGTTGGATGACCGGAGACCTTTTTACAGAATGGGTAAAGAAGATTAACTCATTTTTTTGTGCTCAGAACAGGGAAGTAGCACTCCTGGTGGACAACTGTTCTGCTATCCACACATTGAAGGGCTTAACAATATCAACCTGATATTTTTTCCCCCTAACACTACATTTGTCCTTCAGTCCATGGATGAAGACGTAATACAAAGTCTTAAAGCTCACTGTCGTCACAAAATTGTGCATTTGTGTATCAAGGCTGTCCATAATAACGAACTACAGCTAAAAACTCCGATACTTCAAGCAATGAAAGATCTTGTTTCTTTATGGAATGTTGCATCAAAGGAGACTGTCATCAACAGCTTTCAAAAAGCTGCTATCAGCAAGATAGAAGTATTGAAGAAGCTGATGATGATCATCCTTTTAAAGGTGGATAATTTGCAGCAATATCAGATAACAGACTTTTTCCAAATGTTGTAGTTTTTGTTGTTAATGATTTTTTCAAAAAATAACTTGTTTTTTAAAAAAGTCTGGCAATATTACTTATTTTCAACCCGTTTCTTGATATCTCAAACTATTTTCCTGGATCTCTTAGTTTTTGAGATATCAAGAGTTGACTGTATAAATAAAAGGATATACAACAAATAGTCAAAACACTTCTGTTACAAGTTTTGAAATTTTTTGAAACAAACTTATTTTCTGCTACTTTAAAAGTTATTGTAGTAAGTAACCATTAGTTTTGTTAGCCATACTTTAAAAGTTGTAGTAATAAGTAACCATTAGTAATGTCAGTCATACTTTAAAAGTTGTTGTAGTTAATAATCATTAGTAATGTCAGCCTACTTTAAAAGTTATTGTAGCAAGTAACCTTTAATAATGTCAGCCATAATCAAAAGGTAAGCTTTTTGCTATTACAAACTTAATATAATTTTGGTCATTTATAATAACGTAATTTAATAAATTTATGAATCATTTTCAAACAATCATAAAAAATAAAAAAATTTAGTTTCATTGAAAAATTTTGAGATTATAAATTTAGAAAAATTTAGTAATACTTTAAAATTACCTTTCCAGAAAATTTGAAGCTTTTTCGAGCATATTTAATGTAAAACATTTTGATAAAAAATCGTACAATGATTTTGAAGCTTGACGACTTTTTGGTACTTTGTGAACAACATTTAATTTAGCATTATTCAAATGAAAATGAAATGCATCTATATCTCCACAGTTCAAATATCTTAATGATTGATATAAATTTCCATTGAAACCAAGATTATCTGTCATTTCACAGCTGTAAAAAAAAAAAAAAAAATTCATGACTTTATTTTATAAAACTCATAAATAAATATATTTATGACTTTTTCTTTTATATATAAATATAATATAAAATAAAATAAAAAATACAAAAACCTTATCTCATTAGTATCCCAAATACTATTTCTCCAAGCAATCTCAAACTTAATTTCTTCTAACTAAAAAATATTTTTAAACTTAAATTTAAAATCTGCATATACCTGGCTTCAAAAGTGCAATCTAATAGCACTGATCAACAGACAAATGAATGTTAATAACAGTGATCAACAGAAAAATGTTGCAGCTTCAAAATTATTTGTTAATTCCTCAAGAGGTACTTGCTTTGGAGATATTGTTCTTTTTCAGAATTTCTGGTTTTAAAGTGGATTTGAAGTGTAAAATTTACATTCTATATAAATTTAAAAAATAATTTCTGAATTAATAACAATTAAGAAAATAATAATTTCTGTTACATATGCAGTTAAATCTGTTTGACTACATTTAAATTTTGTTTTTACAGTAGAATCCTGTTAACTCGGACCCTGGATAAGTCGGACAAATTTTCAATTCCCCTTGAATTCTCTATACATTCCAAAAGTTTTGCTTAACTCGGTCATTCACTAAGTCGGACAAAATATATATATACCCGTTCAGAGTCCGAGTTAGCGGGATTCTACTGTATTTACATAAAAACAAAACTGTCAATGAAAAAAGAACAATAGTTTCTTCATCAACCTATAGTTTGCCAGTAAACAACTTCAATCTAACCAGATAGTTTACCAGTACCTACTTCACCTCAATATTATGATGTCAAAAATGACGACAGCGTGGAAGAAGCAAAATCTAACAAACATTCACATCCCATATTTATCTTTTTTATAATAAAAGATAATACACAACACCAATAGACTCAAGTAGAATTGAGAACTGATTTCATTTGTCAAAAAAGGAAGCAGAACTTCAAAGGTTAAGAATACAATAACAGAATCTTCTCAAACATGATGTTATGGTCTCACATTACAATGTTAGAGGTTTGATTTCTTTTTTTTTTTTTTTTAAAAAAAAAAAAAAAAAATCTGTTTGCTACAATGCATTAGCTTGAGTAAATGTTTCAACCATAATCAAACTAAATGGAGACAATTTATAAACTTCTCCAAGTCTAGTTTAAATTTTTTGTTGTTCAAACAGTTCACATAAAGGAGACACAAAAAAATGAAAACATTTCTGAATCAATCAAACATGCTGAGCACAAGCGTTAAATCTTTGACAATCTTAAAGTCATTTCTGTACTTTTAGAAATGCAACTAAATACTGTTGCTAGTATTACTGCTGTTATGCATGTGAGATGGCAGTGATAGTGAGTCACATTCAAGCTAAATAGCTTGTAATGCAATTTAATGGCTTGTATAGATTCAAAAGATTCTCTTATTCCATCCTTACATATAGCTGATTCTGATAAAACTTTTTGTCAATGATATGACTTAGAAAAGACAAGCCTAAAACTAGTTAATAAAAAAATTTCCTAGATTGACAAGACAGTGAAAAATAGGGATTCCATCAGATTATTTCAGTAATGGAACAAAGATATCAGGTCCATGGAAATGCAGCTATGCAAGTTACTGCAAGTCTTTTTGTAAGAATGTGTGGAACTAACTAACAAGAGAACAGCAAAAAAATATTTCACAATACCACTACATGATTCTATCTACACTGAACGACCTGTTAGATATTCATCAATCAATCTAAAACTCTTAGTATATAACTAACATTCATGAAAATTTAAATGCATTTTCAATGATATTAAAACATGTAATTAAATTGTATTGTTTTTACTTTATAGGTTAAAACCCACACTTTGTATGGCAAAATCAATAAGGAGTTAATAAAGATTTTTTGCATCCTAAAATTATTTTTTGCGATGCGATCATTTCACACAGGTATAACTCTATGTAACAGTCTGTAAAATGTTCTTTTGCAAAAATGATGTTTCTGAAAAATACAGAACTCTTCACAAATATTTTTTAAAAAATAAAAAAATATTTAATTCAAAAAAATGAGCTGAAAAATCTGACTGTTAATTAAAATTGAAAAAAATATTTAAATGATCTAACTATTGTTCACTTGTCTCATCACAAAAATGAGCTGAAAAATCTGACTGTTAATTAAAATTGAAAAAAATATTTAAATGATCTAACTATTGTTCACTTGTCTCATCACATCACATTGTCATCGGGAAAAAGTCTTAGCAAAAACTATTTTTTAAATTGAGTTTAAATACTCAAAAATTCAATAACTTTAATCAACTAATAGTTGCATATACAATTGCAACTGGTAATCAACTAATAGTTGCATATGCAATTGCAACTGATAATTAACTAGTAATTGAGTTTAATTAATTAACTAATAGTTTATATCAAAGTTTTAGAGATATAAACTTGTGATATAGAACAAACATTGAAAACAATAATGTCTGAAACACAAAATATCAGCAGTTAATAAAAAACTTTTTATTTATATCATCAACTTAAAGTAAACACTTCAATCAAACAAAGGGAGGGTATTTGGGAGGGTTATCTTTTATTTTTATACAACATAAGAGCAAATAGGGAAGAGTGAGGCACCATGATAAGCATTTGGTTTTTGCTTTGTAACTATTTTATTAATAGGTATTGTTTTAGGCGATTGGTGCAATTTGTAGATTAATCTTATACCTATTAAATTAGGTCCATGAACTATCAAAAAATGTTTAAACTGTGAGGCTATTTAAAGTAAAATTTGTATCAAGGTACCTCACCCAATGGGTACCTTGCCGCAACCTAGAAACACTATTGAAAAAAGTAAATAAAATATAAAACTTAAAGAAAAGACAGATGTTTACTTTAAAGACAAACAAATTAATAATTATAGCCCAAATAATGTATCCAATGGTCCGAATCTCTCTAAAACTATTATCAAATTCTTTTACTTCATCAGAATCCCCCTATCATCGTACCACATACAACTACCTTAAAGCTGACTGGCACTTTTTCCGTGATTTTCTTCGTGATGGCCCTTGGTAGAAATCTTTCGTCTTCCTGCTGACAAATGTGCTTCTTACATAACTTCGTGGATTCAGGCTGGCATGGAATCTTTTATTCCCTCTCGACGATTCAAGGTCAAGCCTCACTCTTCTCCTTGGTTTTCCTCACATTGCGCTGCAGCAATTTCTAATCGAAACCGTTACTTTCATATCTATCAGCAAAACAATTCTCCAGAAAACAGACATCTGTTCACTATCGCCAGAAACCATTGTAAAAAGGTTTTGTCTGACGCCAAAGCTCGCTATTCTCAGGTCATAAAATCTCATCACAAAAAATTAGGCTCTCGAGACTTCTGGAGAATCTTTAACAGTATCAATAATAAGGGCAAATCTGTTATTCCTTCTCTCTTGTATGGTTCAGACTTTTTCACCTCACCTAAAGACAAAGCTGAATTGTTTGCTAAGAACTTTTCATCAATATCATCTCTTGATTCCACTAGTTGCGTTCTACCTGACATAGCCGTCAAACAGGTTGATCCCTTGCTTGACATTCGCATCACTTCAGCTTCTGTATCAAAAGTAATTTCCTGCTTAGACTCTTCAACAGCTTGTGGTCCTGACAACATTCCTGTTGTAGTCTAGCAGAAGTGTTCTCCGGAGCTTTCATCCATACTTTCAAAACTATTTAACAAGTGCTTATCAGAGTCTTGTTTTCCATCATGCTGGAAAGCAGCATCTGTTATCCTTATTTTCAAAAATTCTGGAGAGCGATTTGATTCATCTAACTACTGTCCCATTAGTCTTCTTCCTGTCATAAGCAAGGTTTTTGAATCTTTAATCAACAAACACTTAATCTCTTATCTTGAATCAAATAACTTACTTTCTGATCATCAATGTGGAGTTCGATCTTCTCGTTCTACAGCTGATTTGCTAACAGTATGTTAGCAAAGAGTTGCATCTCTTTATCGAGCTCGACACTTTCTTACTCCAGATCCTATTCTCTATCTCTATAAATCTCAAATCCGTCCCTGTATGGAATACTGTTGCCACATCTGGGGCGGATCTTCTAATGATGCTCTTTCTCTTTTAGACAAGGTGCAAAAACGCATTGTAAACATAGTTGGACCTGCTCTGGCAGCCAATCTCCAACCTTTGTCACATCGTCCTGATGTTGCTTCTCTTTCTCTTTTCTACAAATACTATAATGGGCACTGCTCTAAAGAGCTAGCATCCCTTGTGCCATCTACTAAAATTCATTCTCGTGTTACTCGCCATTCAATTAAGTCTCATCCTTTTTCTGTGACTGTTCCTAAGTGCTTCAAAAACTCTTATTCTTTTTGTTTATGACAAAATGGAGTACTAATCTACAGTTTTACGACACCCCCCACAAATGCTGTATCAAGTTATCCAATACTTGCTAATAGAATATTTTATTTTTTATTTTTTTTTTTATTTTTTAGTTTTATTTTTAGTATCAAATTTTATTTTCAATAGTTGTGTTTAATGGAGTAAGGAGCTTATGGATGTAGTTTAAAAAATAATGGTACTTACCAATAGACACATCGAATAACATAAACTTAGCAACTTTGAAAAACTAATAAACTACTTTTTCATCAAAAAAACACATACGTAATGATATTTGATAATATAATTTTCTTGTTAATACATAGCTCTAGTAATAACTGTTTCACTGTATGAAAGTGGTTGTCAAAACACTTAAAGTGCTTCCACAATTGCAATGTATCATGGTGCCCTACTCTCCCCTATGTAATTTGTGTTATTACCTTGGTTGCATCAATTTGTGAGAGACCTTTCATGTAAACTGTTGCTATGTGATGAAGACCAGAGTTCATTAAATTCTAAAAAAAAGACATGTGTATATGTATGTGTATATGTATGTATATCTATATCTATATCTATATCTATATCTATATCTATATCTATATATATATATATATATATATCTATATCTATATCTATATCTATATCTATATCTATATCTATATCTATATATATATATATATATATATATATATATATATATTATATATATATATATATATATATATATATATATATATATATGTATATATATATACATATATATATATATATATGTATGTATATATATATATATATATATATATATATATATATATATATATATATATATATATATATATATATATATATATAAATGAAAAACTTTGTGACTACTATGCAAGACTATTTATATATATATATATATATATATATATATATATATATATATATATATATATATATATATATATATATATGTATATATACACATCTTTATTATTGCTCTATTCTTTTAAGAACATAGAGCTTTTTGTAGAATACATTTAAAACTATTTGTATTTAATATATATATATATATATATATATATATATATATATATATATAAATGAAAAACTTTGTGACTACTATGCAAGACTATTTATATATATATATATATATATATATATATATATATATATATATATATATATATATATATATATATATATATATATATATATATATATATATATGTATATATACACATCTTTATTATTGCTCTATTCTTTTAAGAACATAGAGCTTTTTGTAGAATACATTTAAAACTATTTGTATTTAATATATATATATATATATATATATATATATATATATATAATATATATATATATATATATATATATATATATATATATATATATATATATATATATATATATGTATATATACACATCTTTATTATTGCTCTATTCTTTTAAGAACATAGAGCTTTTTGTAAAATACATTTAAAACTATTTGCATTTAATATATATATATATATATATATATATATATATATATATATATATATATATATATATATATATATATATATATATATATATATTAAATACAAATAGTTTTAAATGTATTCTACAAAAAGCTCTATGTTCTTTTAAGAACATAGAGCTTTTTGTAGAATACATTTAAAACTATTTGTATTTAATATATATATATATATATATATATATATATATATATATATATATATATATATATATATATATATATATATATTAAATACAAATAGTTTTAAATGTATTCTACAAAAAGCTCTATGTTCTTTTAAGAACATAGAGCTTTTTGTAGAATACATTTAAAACTATTTGTATTTAATATATATATATATATCTATATATATATATCTATATATATATATATATATATATATATATATATATATATATATATATATATATATATATATATATATATATATATATATATATATATATATATATATATATATATATATATATATATATATATATATATATATATATATATATATATATATATATATATGTAGAAATGAGAGAAATTAAAAGATGAATAGAAGCACTGCGTTATAAATAATAAGTTGTAAAAAGGTATAAGATTTATAAAGAGTATTTTTCTAAAAAATGGTTGAAGAGAGCAGTTTTAAATTTTGAGAATGATTTAAAAGATTTTAATTGGGAAGGGAGATTGTTCCAGGTTTGTATGCTTTTATGTTGTATGGATTCGTAGCCGTAATGAACAGTTCGGTATTTAGGTACAGATAATTTAAAGTTGAGAGCAGATCGTAGAATATATTTACAGTTTTCCCTATAACTAAAAAAGTTGATAAATGTAAGAGGTAAGTTATTATGATTTTGGTTCCAAACAAATAGACAATTTGATAGCTGAATAAGGTCACACAATTTAAGGACTTTAGATAAAAAATAGAGTATGCTACAGTTCGAATTAGTATGTTGAAAGTAAATTAATTTTAGAGCTTTGTTTTGGAGATAAGTTAGTCTTAAAAAAGCAAGCTGCTTAGATTGTCCCCAAACTTGGCAAGCATATTTGAGATGAGAGTGAAAAATAGCATGATATAAATTAAGCAAAGTTTCATGGTTAACAAAATGATGAATTTTAGCTAAAATACCATTTGATGTGCTTAATTTCAATGCTAAGTCTTAAAGATGCGATGCAAAAGATAAATTAGAGTCTATTTTGATTCCAAGATATTTAATAGAGTTAACTGGATTTATTTTTTGGCCACTTAATCTGAAATTTAATTGCTTATTTATTTTTGTTTTAGCAGATTTAAATATATTAATTTCCGTTTTTTTAAAGTTAAGAGATAATTTATTGGAGCGGAGCCATTGAACAACATTAGCTAGATCGTGATTCATATTTTTATTAAGTTCCGAGCCTTGCGGAACACCATTAAAAGATTTAGCTAGTCCTGAGTTGATACCATTAATTGAAACGAATTGTGTTCTATTACAAAGATAAGAGGAAAACCAGAGAAAAGGAATACCTCTTATACCGTAGTGTTTCAATTTTTCTAAAAGGATTGTGTGCTCAACTGTATCAAATGCTTTTCTTATGTCAATAAACACTCCACACGCAAAGTGTTTATTATCGATTGCTTGTCTAATTTTCTCTGTTATTTCTATTAATGAATGAGTTGTTGAGTGTTTGTTGCGAAAACCATACTGGTGTTTGTAAATAAATTTATGTTTTTCCAAAAAATGCTCGAGTCTTTGGAACATTGCTTTTTCAAATAGTTTACTTAAGTTAGAAAGAAGTGAAATAGGTCGATAATTGGAGTAGTCTAGATAAGAACCCATTTTGTGTATAGGAATTACTTTGGCTACCTTAAAAGCTTCTGGAAAAATACCATTTTTGAAAGAATTATTCATCATAGTAGATAGAGGTTTGGAGATTATGTGAGATACCAGCTTTAGTAAAAATGTTGGCAGACTATTGGGACCAAGGCTTTTATTATTTTTAAGAGTATCTTTTATGAGATTCGCCACCTCATTTTCAGTCACAGGCTCAATGAAAAAAGAATTAATACTAGGTATTTTAAGAAAGTTGCCAAAAGCACATTTAGAGGGAACAGTATTTTTAAGTAGTTCGTCTTGAATAGTTGTAAAATAATTGTTAAATATATTAGCAACACTGATATGATCTGAGATGACATTTTCATTGATTTTGAGGTTAAAAGACTTAGTAGAAGTAGATGGTTTGATGTTTATGATTTCCTTAATTCCTTTCCAGGTATTTTTTACATTATTGATGTTGTTATTGAAAAAAGATGCGTAGTACAATTTTTTAGAATACCTTAACAAATTACTAATTTTATTTCTGTATAACTTAAATTTAGTAAATAATATATTTTTTGTATTCACATTTTTTGATCTAGTAAATTTTTTATAGAGTATGTTTTTATTAGAAATTGATTTAATAATACCAGAAGTTATCCAGGGTTTAGATTGAAGTTTAATTTGTTTTTTTGTTAGTTCTTCGTAGGGAGCATATCGGTCTAATATTTTTTCGAATGTTTTAAGAAAAAAATTTATAGATTCGTTTATGTTATCATCGTCTTTTATGAGAAGCTCCCAGTTAATATCGGAAATTTCTTGGATAAAAGAATCAGAATCAAATTTTTTAAAGCTTCTTTTAAACATTTTTACTTTTTTTTTAATGGGTGGGTTATTAGGAATACAGACGAATTGTGCCATGTGGTCAGAGATTGAAATTGTAAGATTACCAGAGACTATATCAGTAGGAAATGAATTCATGAAGATGTTATCAATAAGGGTTTTAGTTTTTGCAGTTACACGTGTTGGAAGAATTATGGTTGGAAATAAGGAATGAGAGCACAAAGATTCAAAATAATTAGAAATGACTTGTGATTCTCTATAATTCAATAAATCTATGTTGAAATCGCCCATTAGTACAATATTTTTTGCTTCATGACTTAACTTTTCAAGGAGAGGATTAAAATGAATAGATAAAAATTCAGTGATGTTTAAAGAGGGATGCCGATATATACATCCAAAAATGGTATTACTTTTAAGTGGATATATAACTTTAACAAATATAGACTCTAGAAATTTGGTGGCATAAATTTGGAGATCACTACGAACTATGTAATTAAGATTTGAATTTAGGTAAAGAAGTGCACCACCTTTTTTTGATTCTGTTGGACAGTGCTCAATGTTATATCCTTGTATGGTAATGTCAGTTATATTAGAATCATTTGCATATGAGTTAGACTCAGTAATTCCTATTACCATGGGAGGAGTATTAATGGTACCAACAAAGCTGGAGAGATCATTTATGTGAAATAGAAGAGAAGAAATATTTAGATGAAGATAAATTTCTGTACCAGGATTAATAGATTTAATTAGTTCATTAACGTCAAGGTATTTGCATTTAGTTGTTGGATTAAAAACATTGTTCATGGTTTTAAATAAATTTTGAGATAATCAGGGGGTTCATGAAATTTTATTTTATTAGAAGGATTATTGCAGGAAAGAGTTGATTTAAGTTCCAGATTGGAGAGTACGCCAAATGGCATATTGTTTGATATGCAGTTAGGGCAAAACCATTCAGAAGAGTCATTGGAAAGCATATTGTAAGCATGTTTGTCAACTGGAATACATTTTGCATGAATCCAAAAGGAGCAACAATCGCATTGAATGGCTCTGTGATTATCTTTTATTTTTTTATTGCAAAACTTGCAATGGTGACAAATTTTCATGATATAGATGGTAAAGCCGTTTATAGAACAGAAAATATAGAAAATTAAAAGAGAAAATAATCAAACAATAAACAGTAAATGGATAAATAGCAACAGTAATCAGTAGTAGTACGTAGTTAATTATTATCGAAATTATAAATAAAGAGTATAGATTTATAATATTAATTAATAACTAAAATAAAATAATAAACAATAGATAAAATTAAAATAATATAAATCCATAATAAATAAATGTATAAGAATATATAATAATGATAAAGTTATAATAATGATCAAAAAATATAATAAAATTATATATAGTAAAATAATTTAAATATAATAAAATATATAACAAAACTTCCTAAATAGATAATCTAATGATAAATAAATAAATAATATGTGATAATACAACTTAGATCGATAACAGGAAAACCTTATTAACTAGAACTAATGAATATAATTAAAGATAAATAAATAATTAAAAAATATGTGAAAAAGTGAAAAAAAAATAATAATAATAATAATAATAAAATAACAAATAAGTTAAACAATTATATAAAAAAATAATAATTACAAATTAAGTCGCGAAAATAAATGAATAACCAATCTTCTTTATTCTCTTTAAAATTGGTTTTGTTCTTTTCTTTCTTGTTTGTTTACTTATTTCTTCTTTTTTCTTCTTCTTTGTTTACTTTCTCTTTCTTTCTTTCTTTCTTTCTTTCTTTCTTTTTTTTTTTTTCTTCGTTCTTTTCTTTGTTTAAAGTGTTCTTTTTTTTTAATAATTCGAAGTTCTTTTTTTTTTATTTGATTTTTATTTTTAAGCGTTTGATTTAAATCAGATTTTTAACAATTAAAAAAATCTTTTTAGCGAATTGAAAATAAAAAATTAACTGTTTATCTTACCCTTTTGCTTTTATTTATTTTTTACCGTTAGAAAAATACGTCCGCCATTTGCGATGATCTTATGCTGATATGATATCGTGATATATTACTAATTTTAATGCCAATTATTAAATTTATTATTATAAACTGATATGTTTCTATAGTATTCCTTATCACTGTTGTTGTTATTATTACTATATTTTGTATCATAATTTATATCATAATGAATATTATTGTAATTGCTATTATTGTTGTTGTTATTATTTTTGTTGTTATTATTATTATTATTATTATTATTATTATTATTATAGTATATTTTTTTTATAGTAGCTACTATTATTTTTTTTATCACTATAATCACTACTATTACTTTTATTATTCCTACTTGTATTATAATTATTATTATTACTATCTCCATCTTATTTTTATTTATTTTGACAGGTGTTTACTTTATATTAGTACAAATTACTATTTGTAAATATCCTTGATGTAACAACTTTACTCAGAATATATATTTGATTTGATTTGATTTGATATATATATATATATATATATATATATATATATATATATATATATATATATATATATACATACATACATAAATTAGAAAAATGTTTTTCCTAACAATTATTTTATCATAATTATTATTTTTTTATATTTTGTTTTAGGTGCCCTAAGACTTAACAGGCTTTTGAAAAAAGCATTTAATTAAGTTCACACCTCTTTCCTTATAGATGACTTAAAACACAGAAAAGAGTGATTCACTAAATAATGAAAAAAAATTAATGTTTTATAAATCATTGTCCTCAATGCTCAAATAAATCATTGTCGTCAATGCTCAAAGTAGCCTGTCTACCTCTATCAAATAACTTCACTCCAAAAATTAAACTATTTAAAGCATATTTAAATGCCATGATTTTTAATTTTCTTTAATTCTCAGAAAGTAAATAACATTTAATTATATAGTTTTGTTGTATTTGAATATTATTAATTTATATAATTAACCTGATATTATTAATTTAAATAACCTGATTTTATTAATTTAAATAATCTGATATTATTAATTTAAATAATCTGATATTATTAATTTAAATATTGGTATGAATTTAAATATAAAATTGGTATGAACTTGGACTTGTTTTTGATACAACTTCTTCGAACACAGCAATGAATATTGGTGCCGGTGTAATTCTTGAACAGAAGTTTAGGATAAATTTTATATTGATAGCCTGCATGCACCATGTTTTCAAGACTATGTTTTTCACAAATTACTGGCCCTAAACTGATAAGAAGTTTTCATAGTTAATATGATAACCTCTTCAACTTTAAATGTTTCATCAAACTTTATCAAGAGACATACTATAGAGAAGAAATAAAAAATCACCAACCAAGGGATTCTTATCGTGAACTTTTAAATCTCTGTTTCATCTTCCTTGGAAGATCTACTGAAATATTGTAGTTGGGTGTAGAATTTCAGGCTTCTGGTGCTACACATAAAACACAATTGATAGTAAAGGCTTAAATTGATAGTAATTTTGTCTCATAGTTTACATGTTCAATATCAAGTTGTTATTCCTGCAATAGAAAAAAAGGAATTAAGAAAATTGGCTCTTTCGTCGCAATTATCTAGGGAGAGTTGTTAGATGGAAAATTGTTTGAGCATCAGAGACAATTCTACTTATGTAACACAATGCGTAGCTGAATTTTTCAATCTTATTTAAACATGTAGCAAAAAAAAAAATTTCGTGAAGAAACAAAACAAGTAAACAATCGATCCATTTATCATGAAATGCAGCATAAAATTTGTCAAATGAAAGTCATAAATGATTGAATGAAAAGAAGCATTAATCATATTGCGACATTCAACCATAACAAAAGATCAAGAGCATAAATACTTTCTACTTTATCTTGTAGATTTGCACAGGAAATAATTTTCAACTGCATTGAAGGTGGAGCTATAAAAGATGACTCGATGTTTGAGACCGAAATACTGATAATAGGGATATTTGAATGTGGATTGTAAGTATATATATAATTAAGTATATAGTTCTATAATATTGTTAGCTTTGAGAGTATGGAAGATAAAAAAAGATTCTTTTGACAACAAATTACTTTTAATAACTTTTAACTTTTGTTCAATACACTTCTGTTTGTCTAAAAGTTAAAGCCATTAAATTAACTGCAAAACAAATATTTTTTAAATTACTACAAAAACACAAACTTAATTGACTTGATTTTTTTTTAATGTTTAATGTGTTTGTTTTTATTTTTTTAGTGAGTTATTATGTTTTTATTTTTATTTTTTTTTAATGTTCATATATTGACTGACTAATAGGTAGAACATGCGAGGAGTACTGTTATATCAACTGACAAATAACATGATTCATTATATTCTTGTCACCATACATAGCATATATACATATATATTCATAAATCTTGGTTCCGCCATAAATTAATTATTAACAAAACTTTTTATCTATATAAAAATGAATTCAAACATTATTCATTTTTCTAAAAAAGAAAGAAAAGCATGCAAAATGTAAAAGTAAAAAATATATGCAATTGGATGTAATGCATAAGTCTGTGCTATTTGTGTTAAATGCAAAAGTTTTATCTTGCGAGTGACCAGCATAAAAGATTTAACCTGACATTAAATCAGCCCAAAAAGCAAAAAGCACTAAAACTCAATTTTTTTGGACTAATAGTTATTGCAACAATCTAGATCTTTCTATATTTATAAATAGTAATAAAATTGATGAGTCATCTACCCTTTGTCTTCATGGATTAACTCTTATTTTCGGCCAACCTCCAACCATCGCCACATTATTGCAACGTTGCTCCTCTTTCTCTTTTCTATAAATACTATAATGGGCGCTGCTCTAAAGAGTTAGCATCTCTTGTGCTATCTACTAAATTTCTTTCTCATATTACTCATCATTCAATTAAGTCTCATCCGTTTGCTGTGACTGTTTTTAAGTAATCAAAAAATTATTTTTTATCTAGTTTTTTGGAACTCTGTCCTTTCTTATTTTCCTGATTCATATAATTTGTAATCTTTTTAAGTTTTCTATTAATCATTATCTTGCTCTATAAATTTCATTTTTTCTTTGCAGTACTTCTAATTTTAATAGCGGTTAATAGTATTATATGTAGTAGGGTAATTCTAATAGTGTAATAGCATGTGTCTATTGATGCTTCTCAGACAATTTTAAAATTTATAAATATACCAACATTTCAATAAGGTTCAATAACAATATTTAGTTTATATAACATTTTAAACAAAATAATAGTTTTGCTATATATATTTCCTGCTCAAATCTATAAGTATATATAGGTTTTCATATGCGCATTAATATTAAATCATAATCATCTGATTATTACTTTATATTAATATCATTTATTGTATTTTAAATACAACTAGATACAACTTTATTCTTATATTTATTTTAAATAAATTCAAGATAGCGGTTAATAGAAGTCTGGTAATAGTGAAAAAGTATTCTAGTTTTGTTTTTTTAATAATTCAGAACAAAATACTTCTTTACTTACCTCTAAAACAATACTGAGGTTATTTGAAGACATTGATTGTCTTGTATGCATGGATAGCAGATCACTAGTTACTAAAAATAATTAAAATATATTTGTGTCAATTGTATACTAACACAGGGTTTGTTATAAAGCTGACCATATTTTACTTCTCTCTCTCTCTCTCTCTCTCTCTCTCTCTCTCTCTCTCTCTCTCTATATATATATATATATATATATATATATATATATATATATATATATATATATATATATATATATATATATATATATATATATATATATATATATAAATATATATATATAAATATATATATATATATATATATATATATATATATATATATATATATATATATATATATATATATATATATATATATAAACTTGGTTTGTTCCCTGCTGTATTTATTATCATGACCTCTGTATGATTTAAAATTTTTTAAATAAAAATATTTTTAGGGGTTGTTCAAGTTCAAACATGCGATAAACATGTGATAGAGTTTTTGCCTATTTAAGGATAATACTATCAACACAAAGGTTCAAAGATAAAAAAGCTAAATTAGTTTCACAAAGAGCAAATGATGATTTTTGAAAGTAGTTTCAACTGATGAAAAATTACTTTGAAGACTACAAATATTTGTAGAAGATTCAAACAACTTGGTGGCGCAGATGGTTTTTTAAAAATAGAGACTTGACGCAATCATAAATAGTACATGACATCATAAATAATAAACTATGCAGTTACCTCAGTACAACTAATAAATCCAGGGTTTAACCATTTAACTTTATCTTTGCTTATAAATAAACTTATTTACTTTATTAATAAAATAATATTTGGTTTTTATTATTATTATTGTTATTATTATTATTATTGTTATTATTGTTATTATTACTATTATTATTATTATTATTATTATTATATATATATATATATATATATATATATATATATATATATATATATATATATATATATTATATATATATATATATATATATATATATATATATATATATATATATATATATATATATATAAATTTTATTTAGGTTCCCTAAGAAATCCTAACAGTCTTTTCACAGAGCACCGCAGATGAGCATTTAATTGGAAGTTCACGCTATTTAAACACTTTAATTTTTAATTTGTTAAAAGTATATGTAATACTCTGATTTTACAATAAAGCTATACTTAATTATTTTAAATTTGTTTTTAATATAATTTATTTTTTACTAATTATAAAAAAAGACTCAGGTTTTCCAAATAACTCAAAGATTACTAAAATTTTTAAACAAAAATCTTTGTGAACAAGTACATAATAAAAATATATTGCAAATAAATATAAATATATTGCAATAAAAATAAATATATTGCAATAAAAATATATTGCAAATAAATATATATTTTGAACATGTACTCGTTTTAATAATACATGAAAACTGTTTTGTAAAAACAAAATAGAGTCTTCCACAAATTACATCACACAATAAAGGAAAGGGGAGGAATTAGAGATTTTGTATCGGTTTGTGAGTTAGGAGGGAGGTTGGGGAAGGGGGTTAGGAGTATTCAATTTTGTGACACAACATTTATTTTTTTTAATTTTCAAATCTAGAAAAAAATTTTTATTGATTAAAAAAGTGCCTAGCTTTAAACATAAACCATCAATAGATGTACATTTGACTGTGGCTATTTCAAGTTAACATAAGTTGGAATTCTAGATACGGCTGCATCTACTGCTTTATAAGTCAGTGATATAACCGATGAAAAAATAATTATTAATAATTAATTAATTATTAATAATGCAAATGTTTCACATCAAACACAAAAAATGTAGATGTGATGCCAAGATGCAAAGAGGAGTATCTCAACAAATTAAAATATTTGAAAGATTAAAAGATGCTGACAGCAAAAAAGCAACAAAGCAAGCAAGCTAGGAAACAACAAAGCAAGTAAGCTAGGAAACAACGTAAGCTTGGCTTTGATGATTAGCAGCAAATAAATCAATCAACAACAGCGACTCCAACAAAAACAACAGCAGCAAATCAAATCAACTCAGTAATGTTTTAAGAAAAGCTTCAGCAAGTCAAAATAGTGAATGATATCAGTGCAAAAATTCAGAATGCAAGTTTTGGCTTTGTTAAACATGTATTCCAAAGTAATATATAAAAGGCACCAAGTTTTATTGAACCAAAAAGTGCTGTCTAAGTGACAACCTCCAGAACCTTAACATCATCACATAAATTAAACTTAAAGACCTTAACATCATCACATAAATTAAAAATATAAATATTTTTTAATTCTTGTTATTAGTTGTTTATTTAATTGTTATAATTAGCTGCATTTTTTATTTAAGTATTCTCTAAATTACCCATCAATTTGCATATTTTATTCTCCCCTAATATGAAGGTAGAATGAAATAGTTTGTTTTTCCAATTAAATAAAATTTAAAAAAAAATCTTCTAAAAAAAATCTTTGTTTTTTTTATATATTTAAATAAACCTCAAAATTCACTAGAACTTTAAAAAAAAGAAAAGAAATACAAATCTTTTTTCTATAAAAAAAAATCTTAACTCTTAACTATTTCATTTGACATAATTTTACTCTATATTTATCAAAAATTAAATATATCATGGAGGTTATTTGTCTGTTTAGTCACTTAACTAATTCAACTTTATAATGAACTATAGGAGTGCAAAAAAGAATATATGTAAACTCCACTTTCCCCATACCTATATAAGTCAGTCAATGTGTAGTCACAGTGTAGTTACATCTACACTGCGACTATGGCCATATCAGTCAATTTATGTATGCATTGATTATTATTCTGTGAAATTTAAAAAATATAAATAATAAATAAATATAAATAATAATAATAGTTAAAGCATATAAAACAAAAATCAAAAATGTTGTTTTCTAAAAGAGAGTTGAATCCTCACCCTTGTTTGCTGCGTCTCAATATGTGTTTAATAATCCACGTATTTACACCATTATATGACTACTTGTTTTTTTTGTGGGCTTATTATTTGCATTTTTTATCATTTGTGTGCGCGTACAAATAATGACTTGTAAAGTAATATTAAATAATAATAATCAAAATTTATATATATATATATATATATATATATAATATATATATATATATATATATATATATATATATATATATATATATATATATTAAAATGTATTCATTACATAACTAAAAGCAGCTAAATAAATTAAAAAAATTATCATATTTAAAACCTCAAAAAAATTTCAGGAGCGGGGGGGGGGGGGATATTATATTTGTTGCATAATTTTAGGGAGGGAAGGAAAGGGTCAGTAAAACGTGAGGTTTTGTTACTAGGAAAAGGGGTGGGTAGTTGGGGGTGGAATGGAGTCTAAAATTGGCAAAAACTGTGTGATAATTTATGGGCGTAATTAATAGACTAGTTTTTTAAAATATACTTGCAAACCTAAATATATTTTATCAAATTATACTTGCAAACCTAAATTTAATTTATCAAATTATACTTGCAAACCTAAATATTAGTTTTGCAAGTATAATTTGATAAAATATATTTAGGTTTGCAAGTATAATTTGATAAAATATATTTAAAATATACTTTATCAAATTATACTTGCAAACTTTAATATATTTTTGCTAATCACAAGAAAATTGCTGGTAAAATATTTATTGCTGTTTTGATTTTCACAATATTAAAAAAATTTATTACTTGTTGACTTTTTAGTTCAGAAAATAATTGGTACTTTCAAAACTGTAAATATAATTTAATAATTAAAAAAGTATCAAATATTAGCATATTTTTGTTCATTTAGTTTTTATGAATAAACATCAACAAAAGAAATAAATTTTTTTATATTTAAAAAAACTGGAAGCAAATAAATAGTTTTAAAACATTTATAAATTTATAAATTTTTATTTATGTTTTTATGTCATTCACCACCCCAAGGCTGATGAAGCCACTAAAGTTAAGAAGGGTAATTTTTTTTTTTTAGAAGAACAAGACTGTCGTGCTGAGAAACAAGTTGAGTACAATACAACCAGGGATGTGGCGGGGATCGAACACAGAATTTCTCCTTTAAGAAGCAAGCGCTTTGCCAGAATGACACTACCGCACATAACAACATTTATACGTTGTACGCGCACATAATAACATTTATACATTATACACGCACATAACAACATTTATACATTGTACATGCACATAACAATATTTCTCCAAAGTACACACACATAAAAACATTTCTACATTGCA